TTTGGAGCATCTGACCCTGGGTGCGCAGATCGGGGAGGGCGAGTTTGGAGGTGAGGGGGCATGAGGCACCGGGAGGTTAGGGTGTGTGTGGACACACTGCAGATCACCACCCCACGCCCCCCACGTGCGCTGCTGGGGAACCAGGGGGTAACGGCAGCCCCAACAGGCACAGTGGCCAACCCCGCGTTCCCGGGCGGGGGATGGGTCCTGCACCTGCTGGGACTGCGCCCTGATTGTCCCTCCCTGAAATGATGTTTTTTCAAAGGATTTGTTTACTTGAAAGGCAAAGTTAGAGAAAGGTCTTCGATGTGCTGGTTCAAGCCCCAAGGGCCAGGCCAGGCTGAAGCCAGCTTAGGGGTCTCCCTGGGGAGCGTGGGGGGCCCACCTGCTGACTCCTGGGATGTACAGCAGCAGCAGGAAGTTGGGGTCCCCAGATTTCCTGAGTCTTCCCACCCACCCCGCCCCCAGCCGTTCTGCAGGGTGAATACCTCGGGCAGAAAGTGGCTGTGAAAAACATCAAGTGTGATGTCACAGCCCAGGCCTTCCTGGATGAGACGGCGGTCATGACGTGAGTGTGGGGCCTTGGGGGGCTGTGCATGGGGGTCCCTCGCTGAGGTCGTGATGCGAGTGTGGGGCCTTGGGGGTCTGTGCATGGGGGTCCCTCGCTGAGGTCGTGATGCGAGTGCGGGGCCTTGGGGGTCTGTGCATGGGGGTCCCTCGCTGAGGTCGTGCTGCGAGTGTGGGGCCTTGGCGTGCATGGGGCCGGCTGCCCTCACCACCACCCCCCTCTGCCCCTAGGAAGATGAAGCACCGTAACTTGGTACGCTTGCTGGGCGTGATCCTGCACCAGGGGCTGTACATTGTCATGGAGCACCTGAGCAAGGTGAGTGTGGGGGGCCGGGGCTGGGGCCACCCCAGGGTGGAGCCAAGCTGGGACCCGCCCACCAGCCTGCAGTTTCCCCCGACCCCACCCCCTCTGTCCTCCCAAAACAGGGCAACCTGGTGAACTTCCTGCGCACCCGCGGCCGGGCCCTGGTGAGCACGGCCCAGCTGCTACAGTTTTCTCTGTGAGTGGGGCAGTCGGGGTGTGGGCAGCAGGGTGGCCCAGGTCCAGGGACAGCTGTCTGCCGCATCCCCTCCCCGCCCCCTGCAGGCACGTGGCCGAGGGCATGGAGTCCGGCTGGTGGGCAGCGGGGTGGCCCAGGTCAGGGGGCGCCTCCTCGGAGCGTGCCACGTCCCCCACAGGCACGTGGCCGAGGGCATGGAGTACCTGGAGAGCAAGCGGCTGGTGCACCGCGACCTGGCCGCCCGTAACATCCTGGTGTCCGAGGACCTGGTGGCCAAGGTCAGTGATTTCGGCCTGGCCAAGGCTGAGCGCAAGGGACTGGACTCAAGCAGGCTGCCCGTCAAGTGGACGGCGCCCGAGGCGCTCAAGCAAGGGGTGAGCCTCCCACCGTCCCCCAGGGTGTATGTGGGGGGGGCCGGGGTCCTGCAGGACAGACCTGCCGAGTATCCCTGACCCCCCAGGGCAGGGTGACCACTGCCCTCCTTGGTGGGATTCAGAGTCTAGCCAGAGGGTCGGGGGGCATGGGGGAGAAAGGGGACGCCTGCTCACTGGGCCTCCGCCCACAGAAATTCACCAGCAAGTCGGATGTGTGGAGTTTCGGGGTGCTCCTTTGGGAAGTCTTCTCCTACGGCCGAGCTCCGTACCCTAAGATGGTGAGCAGGGCTGCGGGGTGGGGGACCTCCCCCACAAGGGTCCGTTTGTTGGGGTGCTGTGGCCTGACCCCGCTCCCGGCCCGGTACGCTCTGCCCGCAGTCGCTGAAGGAGGTGTCGGAAGCTGTGGAGAAGGGGTACCGCATGGAGCCCCCCGAGGGCTGCCCGGGCACCGTGCACGCTCTCATGGGCAGCTGCTGGGAGGCGGAACCCGCGCGCAGGCCGCCCTTCCGCAAACTGGCCGAGAAGCTGGCACGGGAACTGCGGGCTGCGGGCACCCCGGCCCAGGCGCCCGGTGCTGGGCAGGACGCTGACCCTGCCTCCTCCTCCAGTGCGCCCCGGAGCCAGGAGCCGTGACCCCCCAGGATGCTGCCCAATGGGCAGGGCAGCGTGCACACTGAGAAATCACTGCAGGTCGCGCCCTCTGCGTCTCTTTGTCCCCCGGGGCTGCCTCTGTCCCTCCTCACCCCTTGGCCCTGCTGCCCCCCAACCAGAGAAGGATTCTGGGTGCTACCTGCTGGTGGTCTGGAGGTTCCAGGGGCCCCCAACATCCCTTGCCATAAGCACACCCAGCAACCTGCTACTTCCAGATGCAAGCCCCAAGAGACAGGAATAGGGGGATCCAGCTAGGAGTGTCAGGGTTGTAGAACAGGAGCCCCTCAGGGTCCCAGCCCCCACCATGTCCCATGGAGAGGATGTTGTGGGGGGTCCCCTAAGGTTGCCTGGGGTGCTTGAGCCCATCAGGTGGAGGGTTGGCAGGACACTGGGTAGAGAAGGTGTGTCTGGGCCAGCCTGCGTCATCACAATGACAGGAAGGCTTGCTTGGAGGTCACTGGCCTGGGCTCTCCAACACCCTGCGTTCCCCCACCCACCCACTCTGCTCTGCACCCACGGTGAGATGGGCCCCTCATTGAGGCACCAGCCAGCTCAGGGCTGACCTTTCCCTGGGGACGTGGTAGAGAGACCCAGGACCGCAGGGCTGGAATCGCTGAGCCGTGCTGGCTGCCCACACTCAGCCATGGTGAGCAGGGTTCAGTCCCGAGCTGTGGGCCTGTGGGCCTGATGCCCACCCACGGCCAACCGGCTTGGCCCTGAGCCGCTGCCACCGGGGGCTGTGGCAGGAAGTCCCCAAGCCTTTGGGTGCCAGGTCTGGGAGGGCCCCGTGATGCATCAGGTTGTGGGGTGAGCTGGTGGCGGGGGCAGGCGCGTGCCCAGAGCCAGCCCAGCACAGAGACCTGGAGGTCCTGAGACGCTCTGGCCACGGGCACATCCCACCCGGGAGCCCAGAGCTGGAGGAGGTCCCAGGTAGCCCATGGCCCTTCCCCCGGCAAGTGGCAGCAGGTGTTTTGGGTGCATGGGCCCCTGGCAAGTGGCAGGAGTGGCTCGGGTGCCTGGGTCCCTGCACCTGTGTGACACCCGGATGGAGCGTCCCGTTTCTACCTGACCAGGCCCCCGCTGCAGCAGGCATTTGGGGAGGGAACTGGCAGATGGAAGCGTGCTGTCTCCCTCTGCCATTCAAATAAACGCATTTTTTTTTTTTTAAAGAAAGCAGGGCACTGAAGTGCGAGACGGAGAGGACTGCCCTCTCCCCAAGCCTCATGACTTCCACCCTCATCCCCTCCAGGCCGCCAGCCCTGGTGTTCTGGAGCCCCAGTCTCTGTGTGTTCCTGGTGGGTGGGTGGGCGGCCCCTGCTGCCGCCTTCCAAGCCAGCGTTCTAGAAGGATCCATCTCTTGGTCCTAGCTTCTCCCACTGAGGCTCCAGAGAGCTGTGTGTTGCATCTTGACCGCACCAGGAGCTGGGAGTGCCGTGGGGACCTTCACGTATGCGCGGGCGGTCAGCCCTCCGAGGGGACCCTCCCATGTGGGTACTGCTTCCAGTCCTGGCTGAGCCCCCCACTATGCTTGTGCCCCTGGAGCTCCGTGAGTGAGCCAGGGGACAGATGTTCTGTTGCTCGCTGCTCACATGGTTGGGTCCTGGGGAAACAGGTGTGACAAGAGGACTGCCCGTGGTCTCCACCGTGGGTGCCAGATCCCAGCCCTGCCCTGGGGCAGCCACATGGGGGACCTTGGTGAATCACCTCAGGTTAATCCTGCGGCCCCGACCACCCAGCAGACAGACTGATGGCCAGGCCACTGGAAATGGGTGATGGGTGCTTGGCAGGTGTGCAGAGGGCGGTAGGCGGTCCTGGGCATAGGCGAGTAAAGGATGGGAGAGAGAGAGAGATGGGGGAAGAGGCCTCCGGGGGCCCAGCCGGTCCAACGTGGACAGGAGTGGGGATGGGGGGCCCAGCCGGTCCAGCGTGGACAGGAGTGGGGATGGGGGGCCCAGCCGGTCCAGCGTGGACAGGAGTGGGGATGGGAGGTGGGAGATGGACAAATGACAGCCACTGTGGGGGAGAGGAGAACAGGACGGTCCCTCCGACCAGGTTCCCGAGCCCCAGCATGAGGCTGGCGGCCAGGCCAGGTGCAAGGAGGTCGGCTGGGCCAAGTGCCACCGCAGCCACACGACCTTCAACACGCACCAGCTGCGCCAGGTGGAGCAGCCTGGCACTACCTACCAGCTGGTGGCCGGTGGGGTGCACCTGCTGTGGGCAAGGGCGAAGGGATGGGGCAAGAAACATGGCAGGGGAGGGCAAGGGGACAGGGCAGGTACAAGGGAGGGTGAGGGGACAGGGTGGGTGGCAGGTGGCAGGTGCACTCACAGCAACCCCCCGCCGCTCTCCAGCTGTGGTGCAGCCTGGGGCCTGTGGGTATCTGAGACCCCAGCCTGCCCTCGGCCAGCCCTCCGGCAGCATCTCTGCGGCTGCTGGCCAAGGAGCACGCACAGGGTTCACAAAGGGCCTGGCCGCTGACGACAAGGAACTCAGCCGGCCAGTGTCCCTGCCCCGCTGCCCCGGGCCACCCTCACAGGGGCAGGATGTGACCCAAGACTCCTGGGTGCCTGCTGGTTCCCCTGTCCGTCCAACGTGTCTGGGTGGGTCAGCTGAGGAGGCTCCCAGGCAGGGAGGCCCCATCATGGATTGGAGGCAGACCCCACAGGGCTGCTGCCGGGTCCATGGCCTCCGCTCACCCACTGAACGCCTCTGGACAGGGTGGGAGGTGAACTCGGCCGGGGCACCAGGCAAGGCCGTGGGCGGTCAGGGCCGGGCCAGGGAACCAGGTGAGGCTGCAGGCGGCCAGGGCCGGCCGGGGCTAGAAGCGAGGGATGTGGGTCTAGGCAGGCCTCGCTGAGACTCCCCTGCAGGAGTGGGCAGGATGCAGCACAACACTGGGGCCTCGGGGTGCACACACGGAGCTTTACTGGGGAGTGAGGAGGCGCCCGTCCCCCCCAGCCCTCGGTCCCCCTACAGCCTCTTGTTGCGGCTCAGCCTGTTGTGCCTCCAGATGTTGTGCTTCCGCAGCAGCCGCCAGTACTCGCGGCTCTCAGGATCCAGCTCCTCCAGCTTCTTAGGGGGCCCCACGTTCATCTCGAAGAGCCTGGAGGGGTGCAGGTGGGGCTCAGAGCTGAGGGGTGACCCCAGGGGCCACCCCACCTCTCCTTCCTGACCCCCAGGTATACCTGCTATCTTGGTAGGAAGGCACTCCCGCCCACGCTAGTCCTGGCCCCCATTCCTCCCAGGACCCCAACCCCTCCCAGGCCCCCGTCCCTCCTTGGACCCCCATCCCCTCCCAGGGGACCGCACTGCCCACGCTGGTCCTGGTCCCCATCCCTCCCAGGACCCCAGCCCTCACTGAGGGACCCCATCCCCTCCCGGACCCCCGTCCCTCCCAGGGGACCCCACTGCCCATGCTGGTTCTGGCCCCCATCCCTCTCTAGGCCCCCATTCCTCCCTGGACCCCAGCCCTCACTGAGGGTCCCCATCCCCCCAGGGGGTCCCACCACCCACAGGGTTCACTCACCATGCTGGGTACTCGGCATCCGGCCTCAGGGCCACGTCAGGGCCCTCCTTGTAGATGTTAACACCCATGGCGTGGGTGGTGAGCCGCACGGGGTCAGTGCACACCTCTGGGTCCTTGAGGGCCTCGCCCACGGCGCCACCTTTGCTGCCCTTGGAGACTGGGGAGACGGGGTGTGGTGGCAGGTGTTAGCTGGGGCTGGACCTTGCCCCCACCCGCAGGCCCACCCATCCCCACTGGGACTCACCCATCCCCACCGGGCGGCAGGCACCCACCCACAGGCACACCCGACCACAGCGGGCAGCAGGCGTCCACCCACAGGCCCACCGCACGGACGTGGTCAGCGGGTCCGTGTCCCCCACCCGGGGTCAGCGGGTCCGTGTCCCCCACCCAGGGTCAGCGGGTCGGTGTCCTCCACCCAGGGTCAGCGGGTCGGTGTCCCCCACCCAGGGTCAGCAGGTGTCCGGGCTCACCGGGGACATCCCTGGGCGGGTGGGCGGGGCCAGGACATTGACACCTGTCACTCAGCATGCCTGGTCCCGCGGACCGCGCCTGCGCACAGAGCCTCTGGGGGGGCGGGGCTAGGACACTGACACCTGTCACTCAGGATGCCTGGTATCGAGGACTGCGCCTGCGCAGCGGCCTGCCCTCCGCCTGAGTGGCGCCACGTGACTCCAGGATGCGGCGCCTGCGCACTAGTCCCGTCCCCGAGAACCCGCCATCCCCATCTTGGTCCCGGGCTAGACCCGCTCACCCGGTTTCTTAGCGTAACCGCGCGCCGACAGCGACGCGGGCGAGACGCCAACTCGGGGCGCCCAGACGCCCCAGCCGGCGCAGGCCCGGGCGGCCCCGACAAGGCTCCTGCCCGCCATGACGTCTGCACGTGTGCGCGCCTGCGCTTACGTCACTGGTCCGCAGCTGTGTGGGAGTTGTAGGCCGCCTGGTGATTTCTGGGAAATGTAGTCCTCGCTGTGTTCCTGCTGTGACTGGTCTGAACCGGCTCCCCCTGGGCGCGTCATCTTGTCTCCCTGACCGGAAGTCCGCTTGTCGCGACTGCTGGTTGTTCCTCTGTGGCGTTTTCCAGCCCTGTTTTTGACCCTCTGCCCTCCCCTGGGGTAACGACACAATCATGGCACACAGGCCGGCGAAGACCAACCCCACGTTATTAGTAAATCTGAGGGCCAGTCCGATCTCCCACGGCAGGATTAGAACCCGCGATGCCACGCACTTGCGAGAACTACATTTCCCAGCAGGCGCCGCGGGCCGCGCATGCTCGTTGGGCCGGGTTCTGCCAGGACGGAGGAGCCGGCCAGCCGGGGCTTGACGGACGTGGTGTCCGCGCCGGCTCGGGGCGCACAGGGTCGAAGCAGGACCGGCCGGGGCCGCGGAGTGACGGACGTGAGTGTCCCCGACGCGGCGTGGACGTGGGGGGCATGGGAGGTCCTGCTGTGGGGTCCGCGCTGGCGGGGCTGGGGGCCTGGACCCGAGTGGACAGGGCGCTGGGCGGGGCTGCGGTCCACGTCACGGGGAGGACCGGGAGGCCGGGTGGGGGCTCGGACCTGCTGACCCTGCCCACTGACCCCGGGTGGGGGCTCGGACCTGCTGACCCTGCTCACTGACCCCGGGTGGGGGCTCGGACCTGCTGACCCTGCCCACTGACCCCGGGTGGGGGCACGGACCTGCTGACCCCGGGTAGGGGATGTGGGACCCACTGACCCTGGGTGACGTGACACAGTACCTCCTGACCCCGGGTGGGGGATGTGGGGCCCGCTGATCCTGGTGGCTTGACACAGCACCTGCTGACCGTGTCTGTAGGCTGACCAGTACAAGGGTGTTTCCCAGTGTGCTTGTCCAGGCAACCCACTTGACCCCTGCACTCTCTCTGTTTCATGAAGATGCCGGCATGAGCTCGGGCTCCAGCCATGGACTTCCTGACGACCCCGCCGCCCGCCGCCGGGCCTCCGCCCATGGACCTGGAGGAACCCGCGGATGCTCCTGTGCCCTGCGACAGCCTCACCCCTACAGGCCAATGGGACCCAGAGTCGGGCAGCCCAGGGCACATGGAGCTAGACGGGCCAGGCCTGCGAGACCTGGTGCGGCACTTCGAGGCACTGCCGGGGAACCTGGGGGACCTCGCCCCGGATGCAGCGCCCTGCCCCCTGCATGTGGCCACAGGCCTGGGCCAGGCGTCCCAGGGGCCCGCCGACGCCCACGGGCTGCTGTCAGCCGAGGCCGGCCGGGACGACCTGCTGAGCCTGCTGAGGTGTGACAGTGCGCCTTCCCTGCCCGGACCCCAGGGCCTTTCGGAGCCCCCCCTGTACCTGCTGCAGCCCCCCGAGGACCCACCCGAGGAGCCCATCCCGCCGGAGTGGACGGTGAGGGCCGCTGCGGAGGGGGACGGCAGCCGGAGTTCCAGCAGCTCCCCGGAACCCTGGCTGGAGACGGTGCCCCTGGTGGGGCCAGAGGAGCCGCGGGCCGGCACCCAGGTAGGGCCCACCCTGCCGTGCGGTCCTCGCTGTCCCGGAATCGAGTGGGGGCCGCTCAGTGCCTGGTTTCTTCTGTCCTCTTGCAGAGCCCTGAGGCCCTGGCCTCGTGCCCTGCCCTGCCTCATGGTGAGTGTCCCTGCCACCCTGGGGTGCTGGGGGGCCTGTGGCCGCAGTGCCTGCCCGTGTGGACATGGGCAAGAGACAGCCCTCCTGGTTGGGGGAGAGACAAAAGCCGGCCTGGGGAATGTTCTGAAGTGAATGGGGTGCCGTCATCTGTCTGAGTTCTAGTCACACCCCCCCCTGCCACCACACGTGCATTGCCCACATGGCCACAGCAGTCGGAGCCGGGCCAGGCTGCAGCCAGGAGCCCATCTGGTCTCCCCCATGGGGGCAGGGGCCTGTGCACGTGGGCCATCCCAGAGTCTGTCAAACCCAGCTATGCTGTGAGCACGAAGTGTTATAGTGTAGTTGCATGTAGTCCTGGGACCGGGCAGCAGTGGCCGGGGTTAACATTTTCCCATGGAGTGTCCCACTTAGAACTAAAGAGCTGGAACATTCTGTCTGGTTCTGGCTGGCTTGGGAGTCCTGGAACATTGGGGCTCCAAGCTGGGCTGAGAGGGAAGGAGCGTGCTCCTGCAGCCACTGGGACTCCAGGTCCAGTACCACATGGACAGTGTGGCCCCGTGGGCCACCGGGAGCCCCGAGAATCTTCAATGCCAGGGACATCTGGGGGCCTGGAACTCTGGCCCAGCAGTCCTAGCTGAGAATTCTAGAACATGGGGCAGCTGGCCATCCAGGGGGGTTGCTACGGCTCCACACGATTGTGTTTGGGATGGGGAGCCGGACTGGGAGATCCCGCCCTGGGAAGGGAGGCGCGTGGGCACACAGCCACCTGGGCGGAGCTGGCCGGTTACCCTGACCCTCTGCTCGCTGCTACCCCCAGTGCCCGGGCCCTGCGACCACGAGGACCTCCTGGACGGCGTCCTGTTCGGGGCCAAGTACCTGGGCTCCACCCAGCTGCTGTCGGAACGGAACCCGCCCCCCAGCACCCGCATGGCACAGGCCCAGGAAGCTGTGGACCGCGTCAAGGTGAGGCTGGACTGCACCTGCTGTGGGCGGGGCTTCCGAGAGTCAGCGGGGCCGGCGGAACCCCCACCCTTGCCCCCTGTGCTCCTCAGGCGCCCGATGGGGAGACACAGCCCATGACCCCGGTAGACCTCTTTGTGTCCACCAAGAGGATCAAAGTCTTGATGGCCAACGCCCAGGTACCGACCACGGCATGGGGGCGGCGGGAGCAGCTTGGGGGTCCCCGGGGGCGGCGGGAACAGCGTGGGGGTCCCTGAGGTTTCCCGGCAGCGCCCCCCCCAGCCCATCTCCCGCCCACAGGAGGCCTTGATGGACCACGCCCTGCAGACCATCTCCTACATAGCTGACATCGGCCCGGTGCTCGTGCTGATGGCGCGGCGGCGGCTGGCCCGGAGCACCAGGCCGCAGGAACGTGAACGCCGCCTCTACAAGATGCTGTGCCACGTGTTCCACGCGGAGGACGTGAGCGGGGGCTGCTTCCCAGCAGGGTCCACCCGGGGCTCCGTGGGGCAGGCATGGGACACGGTTGTTCCCGACACGGTTGCTCCCCACACTGCCCGCAGGCCCAGCTCATTGCACAGGCCATCGGCCAGGCCTTCGCCGTGGCCTACAGCCAGTTCCTGCGGGAGAATGGCATTGACCCCAGCCAGGTGGGCTCCCGGCCCCGGGCCACCAGCCCCGGCCACTTGCACAATGGGGACCTGGACCATTTCTCCAACAGTGAGAACTGCCGGGAGGTGAGCCGGCTGCCACGGAGCGGGCCGGGGCTGGGGGAGGAGGGGTGGACAACCCTCAGCTCTGGGGATCCCCGTGTCCTCGGCAGGTGCACATTGAGAAGCGGCGGGGTGAGGGCCTAGGCGTGGCCCTGGTGGAATCCGGCTGGGGCTCGCTACTGCCCACGGCGGTCATCGCCAACCTGCTGCATGGTGGGCCGGCTGAGCGCTGTGGGGAGCTCAGCATTGGGGACCGGGTCACCGCCATTAATGGGGCCAGCCTGGTGGGGCTACCGCTGGCCGCCTGCCAGGCCGCCATCCGTGTGAGTACCCATGGGGAGGGGAGGCGTCTCTGCCTCCCCGTTAGCCCGTGTGCCCCTGGGTGAACGGGGGCGTGGGGTGCTGTCTCGTGCCAAGCTGGGTCCAAGCTGGCTCGCGGCCTGCAGGAGGTGAAGTCGCACACAGCGGTCACCCTGAGCATTGTCCACTGCCCGCCCGTGACCACGGCCATCATCCGCCGGCTCCACTCACGGGAGCAGCTGGGCTTCTGCGTGGAAGATGGCGTTGTGAGTGTGGTGGGATGAGGGGGAAAGGGGAAAGGTGCCTCCTGCCTGGCCCCCCTGAGATCCATGCCCTGCCTGGGTTCTGCCCACCCTTCCCCCCAGATCTGCAGCCTTTCCCCTCACCTCCATGCCCATCCTGGGTTCCCCTCACCTCCATGCCCATCCTGGGTTCCCCTCACCTCCATGCCCCATCCTGGTTCCCCCCCAGATCTGCAGCCTTTCCCCTCACCTCCATGCCCCATCTTGGGTTCCCCTCAGCTCCATGCCCCATCCTGGGTTCCCCTCACCTCCATGCCCATCCTGGGTTCCCCTCACCTCCATGCCCATCCTGGGTTCCCCTCAGCTCCATGCCCATCCTGGGTTCCCCTCACCTCCATGCCCCATCCTGGGTTCCCCTCAGCTCCATGCCCATCCTGGTCCCCCCCAGATCTGCAGCCTTTCCCCTCACCTCCATGCCCCATCCTGGGTTCCCCTCAGCTCCATGCCCATCCTGGGTTCCCCTCACCTCCATGCCCATCCTGGGTTCCCCTCACCTCCATGCCCATCCTGGTTCCCCTCAGCTCCATGCCCATCCTGGGTTCCCCTCACCTCCATGCCCCATCCTGGGTTCCCCTCACCTCCATGCCCCATCCTGGGTTCCCCTCAGCTCCATGCCCCATCCTGGGTTCCCCTCACCTCCATGCCCCATCCTGGTTCCCCCCCAGATCTGCAGCCTTTCCCCTCACCTCCATGCCCATCCTGGTTCCCCTCAGCTCCATGCCCCATCCTGGTTCCCCCCCAGATCTGCAGCCTTTCCCCTCACCTCCATGCCCATCCTGGGTTCCCCTCACCTCCATGCCCATCCTGGGTTCCCCTCAGCTCCATGCCCCATCCTGGTTCCCCCCCAGATCTGCAGCCTTTCCCCTCACCTCCATGCCCCATCCTGGGTTCCCCTCACCTCCATGCCCATCCTGGGTTCCCCTCACCTCCATGCCCCATCCTGGTTCCCCCCCAGGTCTGCAGCCTTTCCCCTCACCTCCATGCCCATCCTGGTTCCCCCCAGATCTGCAGCCTTTCCCCTCACCTCCATGCCCCATCCTGGTTCCCCTCAGCTCCATGCCCCATCCTGGTTCCCCTCAGCTCCATGCCCATCCTGGTTCCCCTCACCTCCATGCCCATCCTGGTTCCCCTCACCTCCATGCCCATCCTGGTTCCCCCCAGATCTGCAGCCTTCTCCGCGGGGGCATCGCTGAACGCGGGGGCGTGCGCGTGGGACACCGCATCATTGAGATCAATGGGCAGAGTGTGGTGGCCACGCCCCACGCCCGCATCGTGGAACTGCTCACCGAGGCCCATGACGAGGTGTGCATGTGCAGGCGGGCGCGGCTGGGCAGACCGGGACACCCCCCCCAGCCCTGGGCCCAGCCCTGAGCTCCGCCTCCCCGCCACCCCAGGTCCACATCAGGACCATGCCGGCCGCCACCTACCGCCTGCTCACGGGCCAGGAGCAGCCAGTGTACCTGTGATGGCCACCCCCTGCCCACCTGAAGTGCCTTGCCCGCCCCTCCTCGGCTGGCCGCCCCCTGCCCACCTGAAGTGCCTTGCCCGCCCCTCCTCGGCTGGCCGGGGCCCCAGAGGAATCCTGGCCCTAATTATTTTCTGATATAAAAATCCTAAAAGCTCATCGGTCTCGCGGCTGTTCCTCTGGAAGCTACTAGAAGCCGGTAGGTACTGCGAAAATAGTTTATGCCGGGTCGGGAGGGGATGGAGTGAGAGAGGAGAGAGGAGGAGACGGGGTCACAGGTCGGTGGCCGGGCCCCAGCTGTAGGCTTCATCCGAGGAGGACTCGGCGTCCCTGGCGTGCGTGAACTTTCTCCTCAGGGCCTCCCGCTCGTAGGTCCTGGGGCCAGGGAGAGGGATTGCAGCTGAACAGGGAGGCCAGGGGCCCCAGACCCAAGCCCCAGGCCAAACATCCCTCCTCTGGGAAGCCTTCCCAGCCATGCCTGGGTCCCGGCTGCTTGGCTCTGGGCACACAATTGTTCTAGAAACTTCCACACCCCTGAGCCTAAGCCCGAGGGTATGCAGGTTCCTGCCCGCCCAGGGGAAGGGCCGGCGGCTCCTACCTCATGCTGTCCTGTCTCCTCTGGCCTTGGGCGTGGCGTCCGTCCACCTGCAGCAGAGACGGGGCTGAGACCCACCAGCCCCTCGCCCAGCACTACCTCCCACAGGCTGCCCGATCTCCCACCTGCTGATTCACTCCCTGAGTGCCCTCAGCAGCCAGGGCTGGACCAGGCCGCAGTGCACGGCTCCAACAGGCTTCAGTGTCACTGCTGTATGCCAGGTCCGTGAGCAGGGAGCTGAGTCACAGGCGGAGACCCCCAGAACTCCAGACTAGTCCATGCATATACCCCATGGCCAGGACCTCCCCCAGCTCACCTGGGCCTCCTCAGGAGCTGGAGTTCTCTCATGCCTCGGGCTCTGAGGTTCGTCTGCCAGGTGCACAGGCTCCGAGGAGCGGGCCAGGGCCGGAGCTGGGGGCCCCGTGGCATCTACGCCCTCGCCGTCCGTGTAGCCTTCGCCGTCCGTGTAGCCTTCGCCGTCCGTGTAACCCTCGCCATCCGTGTAGCCGCCGCCCTCGCCGTCCGTCTCATAGTCGCTGTTGACCCGACTATCACAGCTAAGGTCAGCCGAGCTGTCGGCCAGGCCGCGGCGGGGCAAGTCGAGGTTCTCCTCCGAGGTGTCCAGCTGCAGGACACGCAGACGGGCAAGACTTCCATCCCAGCCCCGCGCCTGGCCACAAGATGCCACCCGCCCACACGCACCCCTCACCCAAGGATGAACCGTAACCGCAGCCCCAGGAGCAGACCTGAGCCCCGCAACCCCTCTCGCACCCAAGCCCGGTACCTGGTCCTCAGCCGTCCAGATGGGCCGTGCCTGCTGCTCCCGGATGACCGCCTGCAGCTCTTGGAACCAGCTCTGGCTGTTACCCAACAGGGGGACGGTGGCTGCGGGCAGGCAGGGAGCGTCCATGAGCCCAGGCCCGTGCTGGCCACCTCCCCCGATGTCCCACGCCAGCCTACCCGTGAATAGATGGCTGTGATGCTTGCGCAGTTTCTGGGCCTGCCCATAGAGACGGCGGCTGCTGCGGCGGGAGGCAGGCGCCAGCCACTCCCGCAGGGACTTGAGGGCTGCGCGGCTCTCGGGGGCGCAGAAGACCACAATGGGATAGTACTGCACGTAGTTGAGGCGCTCGATGGCCGAGGGAGTCACATCCAACAGCGCGTGCTTGTCCTGGGGTGGGATACGCAGAGCAGTCCGGAGTCTGAGCAGACCCCAGCTGCCCGCACCTGCCATCTGGGATGCCTGCGCTCACACCTGCCGCCGGTCCACCTCTGCCACCTACAGGGGAGGGAGCCCGGGCAGGGCCCTGCTCACCTTCTCGGCAATGACCCGCACGGCGTCCAGCTTGATGACTTTCGAGGGACTGTCGGGCCTCAGCACGCTCTCTGGGGATGGGGGGGGATGGTGGAAGGACTGGCAATGGTCGAAGCGCAGCTCTGACCCCGTATACCCTCCCACCCACTCCACTGCTGCCCTCTCTGTCAGCAGTGTGACACCCTAGGGTCCCTCCATGCAGGTGCCATGCTCCTGGGAGGGGCACAGTGCAGTGTGGGGGTGGACCACATTGCCTGACCATGGTGGGAACCCCCAGGCAGCTTCGCCCTCAGCGGACATGTCTGTGGGAAACCTGGTTCCCAGTCTGTGACACCCCACAGATGCAAGCCTCACCCTTCTCTGCCACCTCACCAAGATGGCCCCCAGCAGGCACTGGGGCTGTGATGGAGACCCACACCCACCAGGCTGGGGCAGGGGGCTCCGAGCTGTCCACCTCTGGGAGGGCTGGGGCAGGAGGGGCTCCGGGCCGTCCACCTCTGGGGGGGCTGGGGCAGGAGGGGCTCCGGGCCGTCCACCTCTGGGGGGGCTGGGGCAGAAGGGGCTCCGAGCCGTCCACCTCTGGGGGGGCTGGGGAAGAAGGGGCTCGGAGCCGTCCACCTCTGGGGGGGCTGGGGCAGGAGGGGGGTCTGTTTGTCCCCATGCAGGGAGATTTCCCACCTGCAATTTCAAACTGGTCCGGCATCTCGGCCACCAGCTTGTGCATCGCAATGTCCGTCACAGGCCCCAGAATCACCACCGGGCGCTTGAAGCTGGCTGGGGGGAGGGTGACAGAGGAACAACCCACCTCAGGACTCCCACCAGGTCCCCCTTCCCGCTTCCACTCCAGTGACCAACCCCCGAGTGTCCATGGCAGCCCAGCAGGACTACAACTCCCAGCAGACCTTGCAGCGCGATGCTCAAGTGACCAGGCGCATGGCCGACCTCGCGTTGCCCCTTTGCCCCTCTGACTAACTCAAGCAGCTCGGGCCTCACCTTCCCGCAGCACCACTCGCTCGTAGGGCGGGTAGTGGCCCTGCTTGGTCAGCGCGGACAGGTCCTCGCGGCTCCTCTGGGTGGTCCGCTTGGCCCCGCGACGCAGACCCCGCAGCCGCCAGAACTCGGCCCGGGCATTGGCGCTGCCGGCTGAGCCAGGCGCAGCCCCCATGGCACGCTGGGCGGCCTCCAGGCTGGCCAGCTGCTCGGCCCTGGGCAGAAAGAGGGGGACGGGGCATCTGAAGGCCTGGGCAGCAGGGGTCCACTGGCCCACCAGGGCTGGCCATGCCTGCATCCCCGGGGCAGAGGGGGGTTCAGGGTCCTGCGGGTCCTGCATCCCCGGGGCACAGGGGGCTCAGGGACCCACAGGGAGATGGGCGAGGGTCCTGAGTGTGACCCCCAGGGACATAGCATGGACACGGGAGAGGGTCCACCATTCCTGGGGGCAGGAGCCCAAGGAGGTACCACCTTTGGCAGCTGGGAAGGGAAGGGGAGAACCCCAGGAGGCCCTTGCCCGGCAAGGACTGTGTGGTCACCGGGAGGAGAGCCGTGTAGGGGGCCCCCCACCCATGGGTGTGACTAAGCAGTTGAGGGCACAGGTGGCCCGAGGGGCGATGCCTACCTGCTTTGGTTGGGGATGACGCCACGCTCCTGCTCACGGAGGTCACGTCCCATGCGCGCCGCCAGCCAGTATCCCCCTCGGCTGTGTCCAGCGGCCGGGTACAGCGTGTCCACCACGTGGAAGACGTCCCCACGCGTGAAGCCCAGGCCGGACGGCGGGTTCGGTTCCAGCTCAAAGTGCGTGCGGATGTAGAAGGAGTCACCCACGCGGGACTGGACCATCTTCCGAAAGACTGGAGTGTTGGGGTGAGGGGCAGCTGGGTGAGCCTCTGGGGGGGCCACTGCGCTTCCCCAGGGAGTGGCGGTGGTGGGGAGAGCACACATGGGGTGTCACCCCAGGGGACACGGGGAGGGACCCAGCCGCGTTTGGGTCCACCTCAGGGCACATGGGAAGGACCTGGCTAAGCACTGGTACACCCCAGGGGCACGGGAAGGGCCCGGCCGCACGCAGGTGCACCCCCCGCACACCCACGCACTCACTGTCCTGCTTTCGTTGTGTCACCAGCTCCATCTCCTTGCCCGGGGGGAGTCCCAGCAGGAACTGCACGGCCTCCTCCCGCGTCAGGTTTCGGAAAGGTAACTCATTCACCTGCCGGGGGTCAAGTGAGTCCTATGCCTTCCAGCTGCCCAGCCGGGGCTGCAGGGGTCAGCGCCGAGTGCTGGGCGGATGTGGACATGCGTGCAGGTGCTCAGGCAGGCAGCCCTGAAGATGGCTTAGGGGGGACGCCCACCTTCCCTGCATGGTACAAGACCCAGCCTTGCTCGCACCGGGGCCCTGCACCCACGAGGGAGACCCCGGATGGAGCTCCTGGCTCTGGCCTGGCCCAGCCTTGGCTGCTGTGGGCATCTGGGGAGTGAACCAGCAGGAGCTGGGACATCTCAAAAATCCGCTATCCCTCGGGACCTGGTCAGTCCCTCACGGTGATGGGCAGGGGATGGACCACCCGTCCCCAGTCACCTGCAGGATCTGATCGCCTTCCTGGATGCCCTGGCCGTCTGCCGGGCTGCCCGCCTGCACCCCGGACACAAAGATGCCCACGTCATTGCCCCCGGCCAGCTTCAGCCCGATGCTCGTGCCCTTGGGGAAACGGACGACCCGTGTGTCCGGGCTGTACCTGCCGTGGGACATGGGGAGGGACGGAGTCAGGTCTGGGGGGTGGGGCATGTTGCCCCATGGGGCGCCCAGAAGGGCTGGGAGTGTGCGCACCCGCGGTCCAGCGTGCTCTCTGCACTGTCCACGCTCTGTCTGCTGGGCACCCTGTAGAGGTCGTAGCCACCGTGCCCGGGCGAATCTGCAAGGGCCAGCAGGGCGGTGGTTTCTTGGGGGGTCCTGTCCCTTCCTGCCCCCCTCAGCAATGTCCTCCCTGCCCTCACAAAGGCTTAGGTGGACCTCAACCTGCCCTGCCAGACACAATCTCGCTCTCCAGCCCCCTCACCTGGCAATGCCCACCCCGGCCCTCCACCCATGGCCCTGCCTGGCGACCCCTGCCCTCTGCCCATGGCCCTGCCCAGTGACCCTGGCCCTCCAGCTCTGGCCCTGTCTGCCTCCCCAGCTCTCTGCCCAGGGCCCTGCCCAGCGACCTTGGCCCTCCAGCTCTGGCCCTGCCTGCCTCCCCAGCTCTCTGCCCATGGCCCTGCCTGCCTCCCCAGCTCTCTGCCCAGGGCCCTGCTCAGGGACCCCCAGCCCCGCTCACCTGCTCCTGTCCCGGTCCTGGAATCCACTGACCGTTCCCGCTGTCGTCGTGGAGGTGCCCGACGCTCCCTGGTAGAGACAGATTAACAAGAGGGGACTTTTTTTTTTTTTTTTTTTTTAAAGACACCGTATTTGAAAGCAAACACAAAAATCTTCTATCTGCCTGTTCACTCCCCTATCATCCCATCAGCCAGGCGGGAGCCAGGCGCTCCATCCGGGACTGGGTGCACACAGCGGGGAGCAGGGCTTGAATCCAGGCCCTCAATGTGGGCTGTGGGCGTCTCCTCCACGCGGGCTTGTGTCAGCACCGGTGGGATTCCTCGGCAGCATGCCGCATCCTACGCTAGGTGACCTCGTCTTATGGGATGCAGGATCCAAGTACGGCTAACCACGGTGGCTGTTGTATCCGAAAGCTACAGAGGAGCCGGTGTTGTGACGTTGGTGGCTGGTTCCAGTCCCGGCTGCCTCACTTCTCATCCAGCCCTCTGCCAACATACCCCGGAAGCAGCAAGGGCCCCCGTGCCCACAGGGGTCCCAAATGGCGCTCCTGGCTCCCGGCCCAGCTCTGGCGGCTTGGATTGGAGCCAGCAAGTGGAAGCTCTCTCCAGCTCTCCCAGCCGCAGCAGGGCACAGGGAGACAGCTGCACGCCAGGATCTGACCTTGGGTGGACTCAGTGCCTCCAGGGCTGACCCATTGCCAGCCAGGTGTGTCTTGTTGTGGTGGCGCCAGCTGGCCAGGCCAGGGCTTGGGTCCAGGACTGGGTGTGACTGCCCAGACACAGGGGTGTGGCTCTGGCTTGGCTGGGAGAGCCACGGAGGCCGGGGCTGGGGTACCACGCTGACCCCCCACGGGGTTTGTGGTTCTGGCTTGGCTAGGAGAATTGCAGAGGCCACACCAGAGTGGTGGGCCAAGCCACGTCCCCTCCCCTTCCTACCCATGGTGGGGGGTCATACCGAGGGGAGCCGGCCGAACTGGCATCTGAGCTCCTCTGTCCGTGCCGGGGTGGCTGTGGGACGTGGGACGGCGGCGCCTGTGACAGCTCCGAACCGAGTTCTGAGATGTCTGTGTGGGGAGAGGGGATGCCTTGTCAGCCGACTGGGCCCATGGCCTGGTCAGGAACGTGGGGGCGTGGGGGTGGTCTCCGGCCTGGCCCCTCACCCTCCAGAAGGGAGTTGTCACTCTCGCTGTCGCTGACAGCCGGCGGGAGGTTGACCAGAAACTGTCTCCGGTCCCGCAGCACCAGCAGCGTCAACCTGCCCTCCGACTTCTCAATCAGGCGCCGTGTGTCGTCCAGTGACAGGTTCTGGCTGGATACCCCGTTGATCTGGGGGGGGGGACCCGGGAGTGAAGGGGCAGAGAGTGCGTGAGGGGGACTTGGATATTCACATCCCCAGCCTGCTGAAAAGAGACACTTCCTGGGGGAGCACAACGGGGTCCCTCCCCTGCCCCAGAGGTGCCTCGGGAGTCAGCTGGCAGCTCCCTCCACCAGCCGCGGTGGCCCCCCTGGAATGCACGGGAGGAGGGGGATGACCAGCTACTCCCCAGGAGGCACTGGATGCAGACGTTGGCAGCTGGGGATGTGGGTGGGGGCAGGTGGCAGGGCCATAGGGTTGCCGGCTCCAGTGGGGCCAACCAGCATGGCTGTGAGCCCCGGTCTGCGTGCCCACTGACCCCACACGCATGGCTCACCTGCAAGACGAGGTCGCCCTCCTGGAGCTCTTGGCTGCGCGCGGCCAGGCCCGATTCTGTGATGTGTTTGATGAAGATCTGACTGCCTAGCTGGACCCCGAACTCTGAGGGGAGGCGTGGGGTGGACACTGAGGCAGGGTCCACATCTCCCTTCCCAACACCCCATGACATCACATGCCCCGCCCCTGCCTGGGTTGCAATGCCAACAGTTCAGAGCAGTGGGGGAGGGGAGGGGTGGAGGTGATGACCAGGTCCCCCGTGGCCCTCCCTGTCCCCGTGTCCGTCCCCTGCCCCAGGTCTCCAACGGTGCTCCGCCCTCACCTTCTTCTTCCTTCCGCCTCACCAGCACCGACGTCACGGGCCGTGTGATCACGTCCTGCCGGGGCAGCCGCTTGAAGCCGGACACCAGGGCCAGCCCGTTGGCCTCGGAGTCGGCACCGGGGCTCCTGCGCCCGTGAGTGCCCACCTGGCTACGGCGGCCGGCCCGTTGCCGCCGGGAGCGCCCACCACCCCAGGAACGCCCTGAGCCGCTGGAGGAGTCGCCCTCGTAGCCTTGGCCGTGATCAGCCTCCTCCAACTGCTGCCCATCCTCATCATCTGAATCCAGGCGCCCGGAGCCCGAGGGGCCGGCCTTGGTGGCGGGTAAGTGCACCCTCCGTGGCCGCTTCACCGTCTGTGGGGGGCGTAGACAAGGAAGTAGAGTCAGTGGGATGCCCTGCGTGGTCCTGGGCAGGTTCCTGTGTGGTCCCAGACCTGCTGCCTGGGGGCGCCCATGGCCGGTTCAGCCCCCCAACCCCTGTGTGGTCCCAGACCCACAGCCTCCCCCGCGGTCCCTCACCACGTTGGCCATCTTGGCACAGGTTTTCAGGATCTGAATGGCGAAGGTGGATGGGACATTTTCCATAGAGACGCCATTTACCATGACGAGGTGGTCGCCGGTCCTGCCGGAGGAGGGTGGGGTTCTGGTGCCTGGGTGACGTCTGGTCTAAGTGACCCCCAGGAGGAGGACGGCGGGGGGGTGGGGGCGGACATAGGGACATGTACTGTTGTTTAACTGTTAGAAAGTTCTGGAGCCGATGCCATCGCACAGTGGGTTAAGCTGCCATAAGCAGTGCCAGTATCCCCTGTGGGCATCTGTTCAAGTCCCAGCTGCTGCACTTCCAATCTAGCTCCCTGCTCCTCCTGTGCCTAGCAAGGCAGAAGAGGAAGGTCCCAGTGCTGGGGCCCTGCACCCAAGCAGGAGACCTGAATGGAGCTGTTGGCTTTGGCCCAACCCTGGCTGGTGTAGGCACTTGCGGGGCGAACCAGCCTGTGTCTCTAAGCCTGCTTGTTGGGTCAGAGGGGCTCAGCAGTATCACCCGACAGCCCCTTGGGACCCAAAGTCAATTTGCCCACTCTTGGGGCATTCTGGGAAGGATGGACCAGGAAGTGTCCCAGGGGAACTGGGCTGGCTCTTGGCCAAAGCCGTGCGAGTGTTGACCGAGCAGGCAGGTGCCAGGCAGCGGCCATGGCCCGCCCCAGGCCCGCTGCCCAGAACTCACTGTAGCCGGCCCTCGGCTGGGCCTCCAGGCACCACGTCGGACACCACCACGGAGCCACCACCGGGTCGGTCGCGGCCTCCTCCGGACAGGGCAATGCCAAAACCTCGGCGGGGGTCCTGCGGGAGCAGCAGGCGGGAGAGTTGGACCATCCCCGCCCCGCACTAGACAGGGGCTGACCCCACGCCCGCAGGAGGGCGTGCCTCACCTTGTAGATGGTGGCAGTGTGCTGTTCCCAGATGGTCATCTCCTCCATGCTGGCCACCTGCGGGGGACACGGGGGCAGGTGGGCACAAGGGCCACACAGTCCAGCTGGATCCTCCCTTGACCCAAGCCCAGGGTCACCCCAGAGTCTGGGTCAGGGGTTCTTGCCCAGGGTGGAGGCCCAGGGGTGCCCCTGAGTGGGGTGCCTTGCTCTGTCCAAGTCTGTGTCCCTCGGCGTCCTCGGCGTCCACGCCTGGCCCTCCATGCTCAGGTCCTCCAGCTGTTGCTCTCATCCCCAAACCCCTGCACATCCCACAGCCACTACTGGGGGGGAGGGCGGAGCGCCTGGCGCCCCTGAAGCAGCCACAGGGGCCCCTCAAGGTTGCAGGCTCAAAGCTGCCCAGGGATTGGGGGTGTGTGGGGGGCTGAGCTCTCTAGCTCCGGAACTGTGCTTCCAGGGACCACGGGAGGACTTGGCGCCCTGGGAACCAGGCCCTGGCGGGTGGAGGGGTGGCGCAGGTGGCCTGGGCTTGTCCCAGCTTGCGTGGCCTCTGTTCCATCGAGCTCCCCCACCCCCACCCCCGCCTTGCTGCTGCCCATCGCCAGCAACTGTGAAAACAAGCAGATTCTGTCCAGTCGCCCCGGATATACAGCGCACCCGCCACCCACAGCCCAGGGGCCCAAGGGGCATCGCCTTGCTCCTCCAAATCCCCAGGCCGCTGTGTAGCGAGCCCACCCCCTGGCCCCCTGGCAGGCTCAGCGGGGGTCCCGGTAGGGAGGCGTGGCCCTCACGGCACCAAGCACGGGGCAGAACAAAGGACACTGGGACAGGTGCGTGTTGGTCCCGCCCTCGGCCAGGTGAGCCCAAGGGGCGTGGCCTCCATCCCCTCCCCCTCAGGCACCTGCAGGACACAAACAGCGAAGTATGGGGATGCCTTCCCAGGCACCCACATGGAGACAATGGTCTGAGCGGGAGGTGGGGCAAGGAATTCTCCCTGACGAAGGGGATTGTGGGAGCTGCCCCTGGGGTGAGGGATCAGGAACCAAGGTCCAGCCTGCCTGGCTGTCTTGGTCCACCCTGGGGGCATTCCATGCGGTGGGAGACCACCCCCCCCCCAACCCCAGCCAGCCACTGCACGCCTGAAGAAAGCTGAACCTCAGGCCAGGCCAGCTTCCCGCAGCCCCGTGACCGTGTGTACACAGCAGGCACCTGATAAACGGGTTCCAGCCCGCACGGGAGTCTCAGCCCGGAGCCCACCCTGAAGGACGCACGGGGTGCCCCACTGGAAAGGACACTGGCCCATATCACAGGTGGGGCAGAGGAAGGGAGAGGCCCAGAACCACGTGGGCAGAATCTGAACCCAGGTCTGCCCGGCAGTGGGGGGGAGCGGGCAACGAGGCGGTGGAGGGGAGCGGGGTCAAGGGGTGCTTAGGAGACAGCTCTGGGTGGAGAAGGGGCAAGCTCCATTTCCCCATGGGGCCTGCAGGGTGCTGGGAGGTGGGGACAGCCCGGCGCAGTCCACACCCGTTACTTGCCTGGAATCTCACGGCCATGGTGCACCCCGGGGCTCCCCCACAAGCCCCTGTCCGAGATGGGGGGCACCCCCGAGATCAGTCAGCCGGCCCCCACCCCAGGGGGAGGAGAGAGTCTAGTCTCTCCTTCTCTCCCCGGCGGCACCTGCTCCTCTTCCTCCTCCTGGGTTCCACGGGCTCCGCCCCCACGAGCAGCCACGCCTCTGGGAAGCCAGGGGCCTCAGCACCCACCCAGTGATCCTGGCCCCCGGGGGCAGAATGTCCTGGCCCTGGCTGGACTGGGCTGCAAGGAAGACCCGGCTGGGAAGCCGTCCACCTTGGGAGCAGAGCCTGCGACTTGCGCTTGCCCTCCGTGAAATGGGCGCATTGTGGGGGTCTCGTTGGATGAGGCCCGTAGGTACCCTGTGGGGTCCCCTCCCTTGCCCTTTCCCAGCCTGTCCCCCACCCCACCCCCGGGGTCTGGTGGGGGGGCGCTCTAGCTGCCTTCTCCCTGTCCAGCTGGATTCCCCAGGTGGGCTGGGCCAGCGCCTGCAGCTGGGAAACACCTGTGTGTGTGTGTGGGGCGGGGGGTGGAGCTGGCAGAGGTGACCCCACCCACTCATTCCAACAACACCCAGCCCCACCCCAAGCCAGGGTTGAAAGGGTGACCCCCAGGTGACCACACCCCTTCCCAGCCTCGTCCAATGGTGACCAGGCAGCCAGGGACAGGAAATGAGGCACGGAGGGGTCAGGGACAGCTTCCAACAGGAGAGGGGCAGAGCAGCTGGGGTTAACAGCCCACCCAAGTGGCAGCCCCAGCGCCTGGGACCCTGTACCCGTATGGGAGACCCAAATGGGGTTCCTAACGCCTGGCTCTGGGCTGGCCCAGAGGAAGCCATCCGGGGAGTGACCCAGCACCTGCTGGCCCAGAGACCAGCTTCTTCTAGCCTGAAGGTGCAGTGCCAGCATGCACCAGCCCAGGAGCAGGGCCGGTGTGGGGGGGGTGGTGCAAGCCCTTGGGGTCAGGCAGGGCTTGGGCAAGGCCGTGGTACCGCTTCCTGGAGGAGCGGATGCTGAGTCCGCCTGGACGGATAACAGGTGGGACCGGTGTGGAGGGAATAACGTCCGGGCTCTGGCAGCAAATCCACTGCGTGCTGCGGACAGCGGTGAGCGAGGACCCCAGGCCGCACAGCCGCCAGGGAGGCGGCGGGAGGGGGGCGTGGGAGGGGGCAGCGAGATAGAAAACTCTAGAAGCCCAGAGTCTTGGATGGGGATCCAGAAAGAGGGAGTGCCCAGTGCCAATTATTGGCACCTGCTGTCTTAGTTTTCCTGTTTGTAATGCGGGGGCACCCCTCTCCCCACCGCTCCGGCATGGAGATGCCGGTGCTAGGGGACCCCTGTCTGTGCCCCCGAGGTCTGGGTAGGACCACAGGCTGCACACCCTACGGAGGCCAGCTTCTCCTACCCCCGCAGTCCCAGCAGCTCCACTTCCCACCCCGTCCCCTGCCCAGGCACTCCAGGGAGGCAGGCGGCGAGGACCCAGAACTTCTCGTGTGGGAGCTTGGTCGGACTAGGGTGCGGGTGTGGGTGCAGGCCCCAGCCACCTGCCCCTGCCTGAGCCATGTAAGAGGCCTCACCCCCATCCCCTTGTCCCCCGCCACCTGCCCCGGCTCCCACCTCTGACCCCTCATGGCATGCATTCCCAGCACTGGCCACAAGCGGGCGTGCGTGAGTACCTGCCCTCTCCCAGTCCTGGTCCTGCCCCCTAGGGCTCCCACCTCCCTGAGAGCTGAAGCCCCCCTACCTAGGCCTGCCCCCCACTCAGTCCTGCCCCCCACTCAGTCCTGCCCCCTAGGGCCCCCACCTCCCTGAGAGCTGAAGCCCCCCTACCTAGGCACACCCACCACCTCTCGGCCTCCCTTCCTTCCCTCCCTCCTGGCACCCCAGGCTCGCCCCTTCCAGGACCACCCTGTCAGCCGGTGCCCGGGTCCATGGCCATCACAGGACACCCGGGACGCTGGTCAATGCACTCAACGATCCACTCACCCTGGCTGGTGTCTCAGCTTCCTCGCAACCGCATACAGTAAGCAATCAATGAGTGTCCACTCCCCAGCAGCTGCGGCCCCGCCTCCCACCCACCCGCGTGGGTTCCAAAGGGTGCGGCCCCACCCTGGGCAAACATCCCTCCCTGGGTGCTCAGCCAGGCCCTGGTTCAGCCGAAACCCTGAACCCAGTTCCTTTCGGTGGACTTTCTCTTGCTGCCAGGCACCCGGCGTCTGGGGCCCGGGGTGTGGGTTCTGGGGGCGCCGACCTCCGAAATCCGCTGCCCTATGTTAGGGCAGCTGGCGGCGCCCATTTCATATACCTGGAAACTGAGGCTCTTAGTGACTCCCGGGGGGTGTAAGGAGGAGTCTGCCCTGCCCTGCCCTGCTGTCTCCCGGTACAGCCCAGGCGGGTCCCAGGTTCCTCGGGTGTCATCAGACACTCCGCTCTGGGCACAAATGACCCAGAAAAAAAAAAAAAATGAAGGAAGCAAGCTGAAGCCACCACCGTCTGTGGGCCCTCCGGGACTGGCATCCCCCCCACCCCCGACGTCCCCCGAGATCCGAGGCCGGCCTCCCCTCTTCACCCCGCCCTGGCCCAGCCTGCGTCTCCAGGCTGCACCGGTTTGTTCCGGGAACTGACCAAGGTAAGGGAGAGGATCCCGCCCCAGGGCGGCTGCAGCCGGGTCAGGCGGGGCAGGCCTGAATCCAGGAGCTCGCCCGCCCAGCTGCCTGCCCGCCCAGCTGCCTGCCTGCCCGCCCAGCTGCCTGCCTGCCCGCCTGCCCCCTGTCTCCCCTGTCCCCCCGCCCCATCTGCCCACTTGCTTCTTGTCCCAACTGTCCCACTTGCCCACCTGCCCCCGACCCATTTGCCCTCCTGTCCCACCTGTGCCCTGTCCCACCTGCCCCCTGTCCTCTGTCCCGCCTACATCCCCGTTCCCTGCTCCGGGAACAGCCCTCCCGGCCCCTGCAGCCTTGCTGCCCCAGAGCCAACAATGCCTGCTTTCACCGTCCAGCCCGGCACCCTGGGCAGCGTGCCAGTGGTGCTAGCTGCCAGTCAGATAATCCCTCGGAAAGTGTGCCGATGCCCGCCGGGGAGCTGGCTTCCTGCTTCCCGGTGGTGTGGTGGTGGGGGCAGGGGCAGAACCCTGGGCTGTGGGAAGCCCCCCACCACGGTTGGGATGAGGGTGTGATGGCTGGCAGGCATGGGGGGGGAGCTGCTGGCAGGCATGGAGGCTCACCTGTCCCCTTGAGGATGGGGTGGCCTCTGGGCAGATGGCGAGAGTCAAAGCTTGGGTGCTCACCTGGCCTGGGTGGCGGGTGGCTGGGAGGGGGGCTGGCCGCCGCGGTCACCCCCTAGTCCGGCGGCTCCTTGCTGGTGGTGGCGGCAGCAGGCAGGGTCTGTGCCCGTGGCCAGCACAGGGGGCCCCGGGGCTGGCGGGGGGCCGACGGGCAGGGCTGGTGGCAGTGTTGCAAGGTGTGCTCAAGTGGGCGGTGCCGCGCTTAACCCCTGCTGGCCCGGCGCTCCACGCCCCCGGGGCTGCCCAGCCGAGCCTGGCACTGGCGTGCCCCTGCTCCCCTCACATCCCCTGAGCCGGGAATACGTCTGTGGCTTTGCACCTCTTCAGTGTCGGGGGGACACTCCAGGATGGAGCAGCTACCAGGCACCCACATGGGAGCCCCAGGAGGAGCAGCTGGCTGCATGGGCCATTTAGCTGGAAGCTGCCGTGCCCCAGCTCTGCCGTTCAAGCCAGAGACACACCTTGGGCAGGGGTTGGACACCTGCGGGCCGGCGGCCTGCATGGCGGGGAGCTGGGAGCGAGCCCCTATGTTCCCATACCGTTTCCCCCTCATCTGGACGTGTGCTGTCGGGGGTCGCCGCCGAGGCCACCAGTGGGTGCCAGACGCCAGACAACCGGCTGCAGACGGCCGGCCTCAGTTTTTTGATTCTGCAAAATGGGACGACAGGACAGGCCCCAGCTCCCAACCCCCCCCCCCCCCCCCGCCCCCCGGGCTTGCATTGCGAAGTTCTGAGTCACTTCTCAGGGTTGTCTGAGGAATCGCTGCCCCCCCAGCCCCCCGGCCATAAAGGCTCTGCCGCCCCGCCCCAGGCCCCTTCCTCCTCCTGCGGCCAAGTTTCTCCCCTGCCCTGGACTTCCCCGTTCTCAGGGTTTAATTCTTAGCTTTTCCAAGCTGAGTTTACTTCCTCTTCACGCTCTTTGCCCACTCACTGTCCCTGCTCACCCTCTGGGCCAGGGGGCTCGGGGCAGCCCAGGCCCTGGAAGTCTGCCTGCTGAGCAGGGGGCCCCGGGGGTACCAGTACCCCACAGCTGCACCCCAACAGGGAGACACCCTCGCTCCGTGTTGGGTCGCCACCCCCACCCGGCCGGGCCAGGTGGGCATTGACCTTCAGGGTCCCCGAGCCGCCCCAGGGGAGCTGCTTCCAGAACTTTCTTTTTTTCCAGCAGGGAGCTCCCGGGCCCCACTTCCTGCGTGGGTTCTGAGGTCCTGGGAAAGGTGGGTGTCCTGCGGGGGGTGTGTCCACCTGGAGTGGCCTCTCTCCGTCCCCGGCCTCGGTTCCTGGTGCGGGACAGGCGGGCGAGGGCTGCCCTTGCGACCCCAGACACCTGCAGGGGTCCCTTGGGAAGGAACCAGCCGACGGAAGATCTTTCTGTCTCTCCTGCTCCGTGTGCGTCTATCTGCCCTTCCAATAAAAATCAATACATCTTAAGAAACTGAAAGATGTCCACGGGCTGCCCTGATTTACATAGCAAGTACAAAATAGTCCAGCACAACGGACGGCACACTCCATGACAAGCATGTGTACATGCAGACATATGCTTAATACACCGTGCAGCGGGCCCAGCGCGGTGGCCTAGCTGCTAGGGTTCTCACCTTGTAAGTGCTGAGATCCCATGGGGCGCCGGTTCCAATCCCGGCGGCTCCACTTCCCACCCAGCTCCCTGCTTGTGACCTGGGAAAGCAGTGGAGGACGGCCCAGAGCCTTGGGACCCTGCACCCGCATGGGAGACCCAGAAGAGGCTCCTGGCTCCTGGCTTCCGATTGGTGCAGCTCCAGCCGTTGAGCTCACTTGGGGAGTGAATCATCGGACGGAAGATCTTCCTCTCTGTCTCTCCTCCTCTCTGTATATCTGACTTTCCAATAAAAATAAAATCTTTAAGACCAAATTCGCCGTGTAGCACGGTATGTAAGCCAAATAAATATGATTATACTGATCGTGTGATGACATACTTTTCATTGTGACATCAAAAATGACACTTCATGTTTGTATTATGTCAGCAGTTCTATCGTGGACATGACGTTAACACAGCTTGATGGAGCGGAAGTGCAGGATGTCACCAACACCTGAGCTGCTGTACGTATTGTTTTTATCACAATAAATTAAAATGAATGAAGCTTGTGTTTGTGAAACCGGGAGACCTGACGACACGTCTGTCGTGCCGCCTTGGGACACACGAGGGCGCGCGAGAGCCAGCCCTGTTCAGGCCCCGCCCCATGCAGGCCCCGCCCTGCGCCGACAGACCCCGCCCCATGCAGGCCCCGCCCTGCGCCGACAGACCCCGCCCCGTGTAGGCCCCGCCCCGCGCCGACAAACCCCGCCCCATGTAGGCCCCGCCCCTAGAGTGACGTACCCCGCAGCCCCGCCCATGCGCGCTGACGCATTCTATCCCGCCCCCTGCGCTGACGCAGCTCGTAGTCCCGCCTCCGCGCTGACGTAATGTATCCCCGCCCCATGCGCGTGACGCAGCCAGTAGCCCCGTCCCGCGTGCTGACGCAGCCAATAGCCCCGCCCCGTGCGTGACTTCTGGCCCCGCCCTGCGCGCTGACGCGCCCGTGGCCCCGCCCTGCGCATGACGTCTGACCCCGCCCCGCGCGCTGACGCACCCGCGGCCCCGCCCCGCGCGTGACGCCCGGCCCCGGCCCCGCCCCCGCCGCCCTGTTGTTCCGGCCCGGCCGAGCTCGGGGCCCTCGGGCTCCGCCCGCCCCGCGCGGACATGGAGCCGGAGCTGCCGGACGGGGCCGAGAGCACCGAGGCGGGGCCGGCGGGCGGGGACGCGGGCTGGGCGGCGGACAGCGGGGCGGCCGCAGGTAACGTGGGCCGGGCCAGGCCGGCCGGGTGGGGGTGGCGACCCAACACGGGGCGAGGGCGCCGCGTCTCCCTGTTGGGGTGCAGGCACGGGGCACCCCGCGTCTCCCTGCTGGGGTGCAGCTGTGGGAGCGCCGCGTCTCCCTGCTGGGGTGCAGCGTCTCCTTCTTGGGGTGCAGCTTGGAGGCGCTCCGCGTCTCCTGGGGTACAGGCATGGGGCACCCCACGTCACCCTGCTGGGGTGCAGCTGTAGGGTGCCCAGCGTCTGCCTGTTGTGGTGCAGCTGTGGGGTCCCGTGTCTCCCCTTGGGATGCAGGCATAGGGGTGCCCACGTCTCCTGGAGTGCATCTGTGGGGGTGCCGCGTCTCCCTGTTGGGGTGCAGCTGTGGGGGCACCCCGCATCTGTGTTGGGATGCATGCATGGGGCACCCCATGTCTGCCTGTTGAAGTGCAGGCATGGGGCATCCCGCGTCTCCTGGGGTGCAGGCCTGAGGCGCCCCACATCTCCTGGGGCAGCTGTGAGGATGCCCCACATCTCCCTGTTGGGGTGCAGCTGTGGGGGTGCCCTGTGTCTCCCTCCTGGGGTGCAGGCATGGGGTCCTCCCTGTGGAAGCCACTGAGCCCCATTCAGCTACTTCCCCCCGGGGGACCCCTCCTTGGCCGGCTGCTCCTCTTGCGGTGTGATGGCCTCCGTGTCCCCCCTCCTGGGCCCCAGGGCGCCCTCTGGCCTCCGGAAGCTTCCACTGGGAGGTGTTGGTGGTGGATGACCCAGTTGATGCCACTTGCACTGGGAGCCCCACGGGGTTTGCAGGGTCTCCCCACCCGTGTCAGAGTGTCCGTGTCAGGAGGGCCTGTGTAGGGACCTGGGGAATGCAGCTGAGACTGGTTTTTGCCTCCTGTGGGGACCCTGGGCAGGCCGCGCAGGGACCGTGGGCACAGGGCAGGCCGTGCAGGAACTGTGAGCACAGGGGAGGTGGTGCAGGGACCGTGGGCACAGGGCAGGCCGTGCAGGGACCGTGGGCACAGGGGAGGCCGTGCAGGGACCATGGGCATAAGGGAGGCCGTGCAGGAACTGTGGGCATACGGGAGGTGGTGCAGAGACCGTGGGCACAGGGGAGGCTGTGCAGAGACAGCACAGGACAGGCCGTGTGGAGATCCTGAATACAGGGGAGGTGGTACAGGGACCGTGGGCACAGGGCAGGCTGTGTGGGGATCCTGGGCACAGGGGAGGCCGGGCAGAGCGGACCCTGGCTTGTGCTGATGGGAGTTCTGGCCTGAGCTGCTTCCTGCCCGCCCGCCCGCCCACGTCCCATCTGCTGGGTGATGTGTCAGCTCGGACTGGGGATGCACCTGCTGGCTGCCTCTTTCTCCACATGCCGGCAGCTCTCTTAGGATCAGAGCCCGGGTTCTCCTGCTGCCCAGCAGCCCCTGCCCACCTACCTCCCCTCCTCCCCAGCACACAAGGGGACCCCGAGGTGCAGGGGCAGGTGTGGTGCCCTGCCAGAGCAAGGGCGGGGCTGCAGTTGAGGGCAGGCCTCTGGTTAGCCCTGTAGCAGCTGTGTGGTCTCCCTCTGCATGTGATGCACCCGCTGGGTCAGGCACCTGAGCCCCCTGTGCTGGGCCTGGAGTGTGGCTGGGGCCTAGCCTGCCCTGCCATCCCTGGGGCAAGATAGAGGCCTTGGGGGAGGCCAGGGAGCCCATGTGCCAGGTCTGCTGCTGGCCAGCCTGCTGGAGGCCTGGGCTGGTACTGCTGGGATTACCTGCGGGATTAGCCAGGCCGGCCCTGGGGCAGGGCGGGCGTCCGAGGTCCCTGCCTGTAATGTGGGCCTGGGGTCACGGCGGGCATGAGGAAGAAGCGCTTGGGTAATTTCATTTCTCATTTTACTTCCTTATTCTGCTGGGGTGGAGGAGGCGCTGGGCACAGCTTGGACGCCTGTGTCCACATTGGGAGTCCGGAGGCCCCGCTCATGTACACTGCAGCGCCGGGACCCTCCAGCTGCATGGGGTGGACATCTGGGGGTGAACCAGTGAGGGGAGGAGCGCTCTGTATCTGTTTGAAATAACATTAAGTTAAGGGGGGGGGTAAGGACACCTCCCCACTGCGCTGGGAAGGGGGCTGCTGCCACCATGAGGCATTCCGCAGGGCATCCGTCTGCTTGTGGACGCTGGGGGCTTGGGGTACATGGTGGGTGGCTGTCCGGGTGCAGGTCGTAGTCCCTGGGTGGTGGTAGTGCCCGCTGGGATACGGCAGCGCTGGCACTGGGACATGGTGTCCGCAGCCAAGCTCTTCCTGCTGGTGGTGGGGAAGCTGTCACCGCTGCCTTCCTTTACTGCTGGGACTGCACAGCACACTTCTCCTCTCCCTGTCCTGGGGTGCACCTCAGCAGCCCCCCAGGCCCCGCTGCCATCTGGGCTCGGGCCCCTGCCCAGGCTGGGGCCGTGCAGCCATCAGCTGCAGGGCTGGGAGGAGGGACAGGATCCTTAGCACCTCAGCCATGGCCTGCAGGGAGCTGGGCCCCGGAGCCAGGACTCGAACCCCAGCCCTCGTGTCAGGGCCGTGGCTGCTACAAGCAGCCGTTTACCTTGCTCCTGGTCTTTCCGCAGGCTACTGCCCACTCCCCGGGCCCCACATGACCCCACCTGCCACTGTCCCACATCATTGCTGCAGAGGCGTAGTGTAGCCACATGTGATGGTGGCTGTTACCCACTGCAGGGCCGGGTCGGGACCCACTGCAGGGCCGGGCCGGTACCCGCTGCAGGGCCGGGTCGGGACCCGCTGCAGGGCCGGGCCGGGACCCACTGCAGGGCTGGGCCCTTAGGAGCACAGACACCTTGGCCATTGCAGGGACAGAGGTTGGGAAGGGTAGCTGACCACAACCAGGGCCTATTCCCAGGGCCACCCAGCTTGTTGGTGCACACGATGGCCCCTGTGGGGTGTGTGTGTGTGTGCGTGCGTGTGGTGTCCTGCCCCTGGATGTGTGTGGGGATCCTGCACCTGGATATGTGTGTGTGGGGGGGCTCCTGTACCTGCTGGGAGTTGACGAGCTCAGGGCGTGTGGGGGAAGGGTGACCTCTGACCTCTGGCCTGTGGCCCTCCAGAACACCTTGTCCACCCTGCCATGGTGGGCATCCGCTGGCTGGCCGCTCCTGCCAGCTCGCCCCAGCCATCTGTCACCTTGGGAGAGGAGCCACGGGCCTGAGCGTGGGGAGGAGGGTGGGTGCCCAGCCCAGCCCGATGCCAGGAAGCCACCAGCACCCACCTGAGAGGGACTGTCCCTGGCAGGAAGGGGTCCGTGTGGGCGATGCGTCCTCCTGTCCCCTGTGGCCATGGTCCCTCGGCCCCTGGCGCTCCAGGGGGACACAGCAGGACAGACTCGTGGCCAGCATAGATTGCCTGTGACTTTGCAATGGGTCCTCTCTCTCAGGTCAGGGCTGGTCAGCCCTGGTGCAGCCCGGCCTGGAGCCCTCATCCTACCCTCCTCAGCTGTGTCGGTCAGGGGGCAGTGGCCGGGCCGCGCTCTGTCTCTGCATGACACCCCCAATATTTGTCTGAGGCCTCATGTCAGGGGATGGGGGCAGGGAACCCAGGGCTTGGCAACTGCTGCCTTGCTCACCAGGAATGTCCTCAGCCAGCATCGAGGCAGACAGTGGGGTGGTGGGTGGGTGGGTGGGTGGGCTCCTGGGCCCCCATTTCTCTTGGTGGCGCCTGAGCCAGTGTGTGGGGGAAGGCTGCTGGGAGGCCTAGCTGTCCCCCAGGCTCACCGGGGCTTGCAGGGCGGCAGCCGGCGTGGGCTCCAAGGGGCCTCGTCCTTGAGCCTGGACAGGTGGCCATTCAGGGAGCTCCCCGGGAGCTGGGAGGCTGCGGAAACAGGGCTGGGCGGGGACATCCTGCTTCTGCAGACTGCAGACGCAGGGTGGGGACAGGGGCTCCCTAGTGGCCAGCGGGAAGAGGGGAAGCAGGGCGGCCGGAGATGGGCGGGCACAGTCAGCCTGGGGCCGGGAAGGAGCAGTTCTCTGCGTGCCCGACCCGCGATGCCAGGTGTGTGGCCTGTGGGGGAACAGGGGTTCTCTAGAGCCAGTGGTCCTGGGCTGCTGGCCCTGTGCCCCGGCCGTGCTTCATCTGTGGGCCCAGCTGGGGGAGGGACGTGTGCTCAAGGTGGTACAGGTGGACATCTCGGCCCATCCCTCCTGGGCAGCTTGGTGCCCCTGGTCCTGGGGATGCTGTGGTCCCCCGCTCCCTTGCTGAGGCCCAGGCACCCACCTCGGGGCTCAACCAGCGGCTCCCACGGTGTCTTCCTGCTGGGGGATGTTTGTCGGTTGCCCGCCACGTGCCAGGCATCACGTCCGGGGCTGCTCCTGTCAGGGCAGGGCCCGCCGCGTGCCGGGTGAGCAGGCCCTGCGAGGTACCCAGCCGTGTCCTGGTCTGCTCCCTGGAGCTGCGCTGCATAGGCGGCCCCTGAGAGAGACAGTGTGGAGGCGTGGCAGCATACGCCAGCCGGCTGCCCCCTCCATCAGCTGCCCACCGGCCATCTGCCCTTCTCTGCCTTGCCCGCCGGCTGCCTCCTCTGCCCTCCTCTACTTCTGCTGCCCGCCGGCCAGCCAGCCAGCCAGTGGGTCTTCCCTGACACCTTCCTGCCATCAGGCCCAGCCATCCGCTGCCCCTTGGTCATGTCCCATGTCCTTTCCACCTCAAGGCAGTTAGCTGTGAGTAGCATGTGTCCACCCTGCCCTTGGCCCTGATCTTGACCCTGGCCATGACCCTGCTCTGGTCCTGGTACTTTACCCTGACCTTGACCCTGCCCTGGCCCTGACCCTGGCCATGACCCTGACCCTGCTCTGGTCCTGGTACTGACACTGACCCCAGGCCCTGACCTTGGCCCTGACCCTGACCCCGAACCTGGCCCTGGCCTTGGTCCTGTTCCTGATGCTGATGCTGGCCCTGACCCCGACCCTAGCCCTGCTCCTGCCCGACTGAGCCTGAGGGTTGGCAGTGCCCCTCCAGGTGCCCAGCCTGGACTCCTGCTGGACGCCCAGGAGCAGCACTGGCCGGCTAGGGTGAGGTTGCCCCTCTTGCTGGCGTGCAGCCTTGGCCTGGGCACCTGATGGATTCTGGGCGTGCATCCCGCCTCTGCAGGGCTTCTTGCAGGATCAGACAAGCCTGGGCCTCTGGGGGCACCCCTGTCAGGGACCCCGTCTCTGCTTGGAGGGCTGGGGGGGGGACTTTGTAGCCATGTCTTGGATCATTACCGGGTCATGTACAGGGTGGTGTGCACTGGTGGGAGCAGACCAGCTCCGCTCCGCTCCTTCCTGGTATTGCCCCCGCCCAGGGCTGCCCAGGGGGCTGGGGACCTCACTGCCACCAGGGGGTGGGGGGCCGGGGACCTCAATGCCACCCACGGCTGCCCAGGGGGCTGGGGACCTCACTGCCACCCTTGGGTCGGGGCTGGGGACCTCACTGCCGCCCGGAAGTCGGGGCCGGGGACCTCACTGCCACCCAGGCTGCCCATATGGCCCAGGAGGATTCCTGCCTACCCCTGACACTGGGGGAGAGGGCTGGGGGCCATGGGAAACCCAGGGCTGTGCACGCGGGGTGTGGGGTTGTTGAGGGAGAGGCCGTAGACACAGGTGGGGAAGAGTTGGAGGCTGAGGCTTTGGCCCTGGAGCCCCCCCGACGTGGCCTGGGTCTGTGCCGCCCCCTCCTCTCCCCACTTCTCCTGCTGTTGTGTGGGCATCCAGGTGGGGGTGGGGATGACCTTGAACCTGTCAGAGCGCCAGGGTAGGTGGTAAAGACCCCGTAAGGCGTTGGGGGCCTGAGGAGATGCAGGGGAACCCAGGGCTGGTGCTGTGACCTCGACCCCCATGTTTCATATCTTGGGGGCCCCTCTGCACGTCCTCCCTGGGGCTACTGCTGGCTCAGCATGGCCATGACCTGTAGGGGACACACATTCCCCCGGTCCAGGCCACCTGCACGACTCCGGTTCCCCAGCCGGGCCTGCGCCAGGTCCACCCTGCTTATGCCATCTCAACGGCCCTGTAAGCACGCAGCACGGAGGCCCAGAACTGGTGTTGGGGGTCTGGGGCCCCCACACGGGTGACCTCTGCCCGCACTGCTCCCAGAGCCCTGTGCCCCCCGGGGCGCTGCAGCCCGCGGGGAGCCTGTGCACCCGGCTGGCCACGTGCCTGAGCCAAGCTTCTCCCTGCCCTCACAGGTCTCGGCCAGAAGAAGACAGCTGTGTTAGAGGTGAGTTCTGGGAGCGAGCGAAGGGGCTTGGGGCCCCGGGGTCATGGGGTCATCACTGGCACCGTGGGGCCTTGGTACTGCCAGCACTACCTGCCCGCAGAGCCCTGCGGGACCCTCCAGCCAGTGCCCCGAGGACAGGGCCCGGGACTGGCTGCTGGCAGGTTAGGGGTTCTGCCTGGACACTCACCCCTCGGGGGTCACCAGGCTCAGGGTGGGCTGCTGGATACTTAAGTGGTCCTGCATATGTGGGGAGCTATTGTGATGCCCCCCGTTTCTGTCCATTGAGTCTTGTTCTGCTATCCTGTGCAGGATCCCCAGGCCTGAGCTACCCTTGGGGCTGTGGACAGTGCTGTCCCCAAAAGGAGCTGGAGCCAGGGGAGGCTTGGGGGGCCCTAAGAACCCCCTGTGGGGTCTGCATGACATGTCCTAGAACCCCAGCAGTGACCATGGGAGACAGAGTGGGCCCTGGGCCTGCCCCCTGGTGGCATGGTGGACAACTCGCTGGGAGCAGGCCTGGCTGGCGCTCCGGGGACATGGCAGGATGGGGGTGGCCTGTCAGCTTCCCACAGCCCCCTGTCATCTCTGGACGCTGTGGTCATCCCGTCGGGGGGAGCTCCCAGTGTGGAGTGGGTGGGCCGGGGTCGCCTGCTCCTGAGGGACCCTGTATCTGCCCCTGAACAATGGGATGAGGGCCCTGCTGACCGCTCAGCCCGCCTCAGCCAGCGCCTCCCTGCACGCACTTCTGATCATGACCCCTGTCTTGCCAGGCTTCCAGAACCTTCTGGGCCCCCTGCTGACTTCACATGTCCTGCTTCCTTGTCACCAGGTTCTGTCCACGACTGGGCAACCAGGCCCGGGCCATGGGAAAAAGTTGGGCCATCGCAGTGTGGACGCATCTGGGGAGACGACCTACAAGAAGGTACTGAGCTGCTGGGTGGGAAATGGGGGCCGCAGTGCCTGGGCAGGCCGGGCCCTTCCTGGGCCCCTTGGTGGACTAGGGGTCCTAGCGCCTGGGCAGGCTGGGCTGGGCCCTCCCTCGGCCCCTTGGTGGACTGGGGGTCCTAGCGCCTGGGTGGGCTGGGCCGGGCCCTCCCTCGGCCCCTTGGTGGACGCTATCCTCTCCAGGCGGCTGGTCTGGCACCTTCTGGACCACAAAGCAACACATGGCAGGTCTGCCAGGCCCTGCCCACGCTGAGGCTGTGTGGGGAGGGGTCCTGACAGCCGGTCTCGCCCACAGACCACCTCGTCCACCCTGAAGGGTGCCATCCAGCTGGGCATCGGCTACACCGTGGGCAACCTGAGCTCCAAGCCGGAGCGTGATGTGCTCATGCAGGACTTCTACGTGGTGGAGAGCATCTTCTTCCCCAGGTGGGAGCGGCTGGCCGGGATACAGCCTTGCCCACCCTGCCCCGCCCTGCTTTCTGGCTCTGCCCACTCCTGTCCTCTCCCTGGCCCCACCCTCTCCCAGCCCCACCCTCTCCCTGGCCCCGCCTTCTGGCTCCACCCTCTCCCTGGCCCCGCCTTCTCCTGGCTCTGCCCTCTCCCTGGCCCCGCCTTCTCCTGGCTCTGCCCTCTCCCTGGCCCTGCCTTCTCTCTGGCTCCGCCCACACCCCACCCTTTCCTTGGCCCCACCCACCTCCCAGCCTGGCCCAGGCCCTAGGCCTACACTGCGGTTGGGGTCCCACCCGGCCCTGCTTGGCTGCTGCTTGCTGCTTAGCTCCCACAGAAGAACAGGTTTCCTTATCGAAAAGCAAGACAGAAAAAGACAAATCTTTCACCTACTGGTTCACTCCTCAAATGGCTGCAAAGGCTGTGGCTAAGCCAGCCGGGAGCCAGGAGCCTCCCCGGGGTCTCCCATGCGGGTGCAGGATCCCAAGGCTTTGGGCCGTCCTCCACTGCTTTCCCAGGCCACAGGCAGGGAGCTGGATGGGAAGTGGAGCTGCCAGGATTAGAACCAGTGCCCCATGGGATGCAGGACTTGTAGGCCTGGGTTTTACCCACAATGCTACAACACTGACCTCTTGCACTCAGAGGAAGAAGGTGGGACAGTCAGGTGACCCCATGGAGCAGGCCCCTCCGCCTCCCCGTCTCAGGTGGTTGCCCAGACTCCCGCCATCGGGTCTGCCTCCTCACAGCAAGGAGTAGAGAAGGGCGCAGCCAGGAAGCCCCCACGTGGCTTCTGCCCCACTGGCGCCTCATTGGCTAAGTACGGTCTACCAAGCAAGGCCAGCCCTGCCCAGCATCCAGGGGCTCCACTGCCAGGCCAGGAGGACCAGTGCAGCCCTGCCTCCCTCCCACTGCAGCGCTTGCTCGGAGCTGGAGGCTGGGGGCGCCTGCACGGGCGCAAGCCGGGAAGGGCCCCCCCCCCGCACCAGCCATGACTCACAGACGCCTCTGTGTGCTTCGTTTCAGCGAAGGCAGCAACCTGACCCCTGCCCACCACTTCCAGGACTTCCGTTTCAAGACCTACGCACCCGTCGCCTTCCGCTACTTCCGGGAGCTCTTTGGGATCCGGCCAGATGATTACCTGGTGAGCAGGGTGGGCAGGCTGGGGGGGGGGGTCTCGGCTGACGCCCACATGCCTGTGCCGATTCAGACACTCCTGGCTGGAGAGGGGTGCAGCCCTTAGCAGCTCCTGCAGCATGGCAGGGCCGGGGGTCTGCAGGAGGGCCTGTGGGGGCAGCCCTTGGCAGCCCCTGCAGCGTGGCAGGGCTAAGGATCTGCAGGAAGGCCTGTGGGGGGGGGCCCTTGGCAGCCCCTGCAGCGTGGCAGGGCCGAGGGTTTGCAGGGCCTGTGGGGGGCTGGGGTTGGCCCCGGGTGCCCTGGGGCTCTCAGCATTTGCTGGCAGCGTCAAGGCAGTCACTGAACACACATCCAGCTGGGATTCGACCCTGTCCCTGGTCAGCGCAAGGGGTGACCACCGGGCTCAGCCTGGGCCCCCGGGGTTGCTCCGTGGCCTGGGTGGGGGTAGTGCGCTGTGGCCACATGCCCAGCACTCACGGCCACCCACCCTGCTCAGTACTCGCTCTGCAACGAGCCGCTCATCGAGCTGTCCAACCCCGGGGCCAGCGGCTCCCTGTTCTACGTCACCAGCGATGACGAGTTCATCATTAAAACCGTCATGCACAAGGAGGCCGAGTTCCTGCAGAAGCTGCTGCCCGGCTACTACATGGTGAGCTCCTGGCCGGCCTGGCTACGCCCTCCTAGACCACGCCCCCTCCAGACCACGCCTACCCACAGCCCCGCCCTGAGGCTGGGCCATGCCCCTCCAAACCACGCCCACCCACAGCCCCACCCTCACTGAGGCTGGGCCACGCCCCTCCAAGCCACACCCACCCACAGCCCCACCCTCACTGAGGCTGGGCCACGCCCCTCCAAACCACACCCACCCACAGCCCCACCCTCACTGAGGCTGGGCCATGCCCCTCCAAACCACACCCACCCACAGCCCCACCCTCACTGAGGCTGGGCCACGCCCCTCCAAACCACACCCACCCACAGCCCCACCCTCACTGAGGCTGGGCCACGCCCCTCCAACCCACACCCACCCACAGCCCCACCCTCACTGAGGCTGGGCCACGCCCTCCCAGGCCACATCCACCCAGGATTGACCCATCCCAAGCCCCGCCCCTCACTGAGGCTAAGCCCCGCCCCTCCCCAGGCCACACCCACCCAGGCTAGGCCACGCCTCCCCTTCCCATGCCTTGCTCCTTCCTAAGGCCCACCCTCCACTCCCGGAAGCCACGCCCTCCTCTCCCTAGGCGTGACTCCCTAGGTCACGCCCTCCCTGAGGCCACGCCCTTCCCCCCGTGGGCCAGGGTCCCCCAACAGGCTGACCCACAGACAGTGACCTGGACAGTGACCTGGTGGTTCTTAAGCGCCTTGGGACCCCCGTCCCTCATCTGAGTCCCTGGGTTCGAGTCCCCAGGGCTGCACTGCCCATGCGGCTCCCTGTGACACCCACCCTGCACCCACGGGGAGACCCACACGCGGCTCCTGGCTCCTGGAGATTAACAAAGTCAGGGCCGTGATCTGTGGACGGGAGCTGGCTGCCGGCCTGTGCCTCCCGGGGCCTGCGGAGCCCGTGCGGTCCACGCTCATGTGGACGAGAGCAGGAGCCCCGGGGAGCGGAGCCAGCCCTGGGAGACAGTGCGGTGTGGGGGGGGGGGGTCCCTCGGAGCCGGGAGCTCTCCTGACGTCCTGCCGGCCACGTGTGCCCCACAGAACCTGAACCAGAACCCGCGCACGCTGCTGCCCAAGTTCTACGGGCTGTACTGCGTGCAGTCGGGCGGCAAGAACATCCGCGTGGTGGTCATGAACAACGTGCTGCCCCGCGTGGTCAAGATGCACCTCAAGTTCGACCTCAAGGGCTCCACGTACAAGCGGCGCGCCAGCCGCAAGGAGAAGGAGAAGGGCGCGCCCACCTACAAGGACCTGGACTTCATGCAGGACATGCCGGAGGGGCTGCTGCTGGACGCCGACACCTTCAGCGCCCTGCTCAAGACTCTGCAGCGGGACTGCCTGGTGGGCCACCTGCCGGGGGGGGGGGCGGGGTGGGGCTGGGCGGATGCCAGGGCACCCTGCGCCTGGTGCGTGGAGCCTGTGCCTGGGACCCAGGAAGATCTGGTGCAGGAACAGGGTCCCAGGTCTGCCCTCAGTGTGGGCAGGCTCGGGTCAGAGCGCCTGTGGGCCCTGCGTGTGTGTGGCGGGCGGAGGGACGGCGCGGGTGGCCCTGCGTGGTCCTGTGCCATAGCCTGACCCCCCCCCCCCCCGCCGTCCCCAGGTGCTGGAGAGCTTCAAGATCATGGACTACAGCCTGCTGCTGGGCGTGCACAACATCGACCAGCAGGAACGCGAGCGCCAGGCCGAGGGCGCGCAGAGCCCCCTGGACGAGAAGCGGCCCGTGGGCCAGAAGGCGCTCTACTCCACGGCCATGGAGTCCATCCAGGGCGGGGCAGCGCGCGGGGAGGCCATTGGGACGGATGACACGTAGGTGGCGCGGGCCCAGGAGCTACATGGGGGCCGTAGGGGAGCCTGGTGGGCCGTGCTGTGGCTGGAATGGGCGTGGGGTACGGCCCGATGGAGCCAGGGGAGGGGCTGCTGGGCCTCATGGGGCCAGGGTGGGGGGCGTCGGTTCCCTTAGGATGGGGATGGGGGTAGGGGCACCAGGTCCCATGGGTTGGGGATGCTTGGGCCTATGGGGGAGGAGCAGGGGTGCTGGGCCCTTTGGGTTGGGGATGCTTGGGCCCATGGGGCAGGAGCAGGGGTGCTGGGCCCTTTGGGGTGGGGGTGCTTGGGCCTATTGGGCAGGAGCAGGGGTGCTGGGCCCTTTGGGGTGGGGGTGCTTGGGCCCATGGGGCAGGAGCAGGGGTGCTGGGCCCTTTGGGTTGGGGATGCTTGGGCCCATGGGGCGCAGGTGGGAGCTGTCCTGGCCCCCACTTACTCCCCCTCGGGCCCTGAGCCTGCCGTGGCCCTGCTGGGCAAGGGCGTGCCTGTGTGGACACACGTCCACCGCCTGCCGTGGGCAGGGTGCACCATGGTGCATGCTGGGAAACATGCCTGGGCCCCGATGCTCTGCCCCGGAGACCCTGGCGCCGCCCCAGGCCCTGCCTGCGGTGCCGACCACAGCCTCTCCCGCAGGATGGGCGGCATCCCCGCCGTGAACGGCCGCGGAGAGCGGCTGCTGCTGCACATCGGGATCATCGACATCCTGCAGTCTTACAGGTGTGGAGGAGGGCCGCGCGGGTGGGGCGGGCCACAGGGGAGAGGGCAGGGTGGTTCCCGCGTGGGGCAGGGCAGGGCAGGGCAGGGCCCCAGGAAGCAGGTCCCGCTGCCCGCAGCTCCCTCCCTGTGCTGTGTGCTGCCTGCCGGCTGCTCCCCTCCACACCGCACATGCAGGCACGGGTGGCGGGCACTTCCACTGTCCTCCAGCTCCACGCCCCTTGCTGACAGCGGGACAGTCCCGAGCTGTCCACGCAGGTGGCTTGCCTGCTGCGCTGGAAGCTGGCGACAGCCGCACCTCGATGGCATTTAGGTTTCACCGCCAAGCCTAGGACCTCCTCCTGTCTCCCATCCTCACTCCCCGTCCTCTCTCACACGTCCTCACTGAGGGTCCTGGGTGTCGAGGCGGGGAGGAGGTGGGCGGGCTGAGGCTTCCTCGGCACCTGGCCCTGGAGCGGGGACATGGGGTGCCCGCCCGCCTCTGGCTGGTCCCATCTGGGCTGAGCCGATGCCTGTCCCCGCAGGTTCATCAAAAAGCTCGAGCACACCTGGAAGGCTCTCGTGCACGATGGGGTGAGTGGCCGCCCGCTCGTTTGCTCGCTCGTTCTCTCGCTCACTCGTTCGTTCATTCTCTCACTGACTCACTGCCGCGCTGGCTCGTCCGCTCGTGGCATCCATCGGCGCGGACCCCTGAGGGCCTGTTTGCACCCCTGAGGCCCAGGGTCTGGTGGGGACGGGGTGCCCCTCCGCTGCCCTGGCCACACTTCAGACCCCACTCTGCCTGTGCAGAATCTGTCTAGAGTTCAGGAGACCCTGGAGACGGGGTGGGGCCGAGCAGGGGGTTCCAGAATGTTCTTCAAGAAGGTCAGGGTGCAGCCCTCCGTAGCAGCCTCGCCCGAGTGCCTGGCTGTGGGGACAGCCTTAGCTGCAGAGCCCTGTGCCCGGTGCTGCGGGCTGCCCGGAGGGGCCCTGGCTGAGGCTCCAGCCCCTGGCTGAGGCTCCAGCCCCTGGTTTGGCCCTTGAGCTGTGAGCATCTGGGCAGGCTGGAGTACTCAGGAAGGCGCTCTGTCTCTCTCAGCCTGCAGCTTGAGACCGTACGTGCCCACACACATGTACATCCCCATGCGCCACCTCCCCAAGGCCCCGTGGCACTGCTGAGCCCTGGCTCTCCACCCTGGGTGAGCCTCGAACCCTGGCCCCTGCAGCAGGGCAGGGTGGGGCAGGGGAGCTGGGCTGGCCTCAGCCGGGGTAGAAAGCCTGTCAAGCCAGGCCCAGGTCCCGTAGCCAGAGCTCAGCCACAGGAGGCCGTGTGTGCTCCTGGGTTCTAGTGCGCCCCTGCGGGGGTTTAGCAGGGGCAGCTGGCCTGCCTGCCCCGGGACACTGGGTCCTGTCCGGGTGAGCCCCTGGAATGGCATACATGGGGGCAGGGACACTGCTCTGCCCCAGCCAGGCACGTGGGATCACCCAGCACGTGGGGTGTCAGAGGATGGAAAGATCCAGGCCTCGGGCTCCCCGCTGCCACGCCTCAAACGGGCAGCTCCATACAGACGGACACCACTCATCCAGGCTTCGGGCGGGCTCGCTGCAGACAGACATGCCCGATCCAGGCCCCTGGGGGGCTCTGTACAGTCAGAAGCTGCGCCCTGCTGCGGGCCTGGGTCAGAGGCTGTGCCCTGCTGTGGGCCTGGGTCAGAGGCTGCACCCTGCTGCGGGCCTGTGTTGGAGGCTGCACCCTGCTGTGGGCCTGTGTTGGAGGCTGAGCCCTGCTGTGGGCCTGTGTTGGAGGCTGTGCCCTGCTGTGGGCCTGGGTCAGAGGCTGCGCACTGCTGCGGCTGGTTCACGCCTTGGTCCTGGTTTTGCTCAGTGGGTTCAAAATGCTTGAGGGCAAACAGGCTAGTGCAGGAAGGAGCCCGTCCCAGCCTGCCCCCGGCACACCCAGAGCTGAACCGCCCTCTATTGCAGGACACGGTCTCCGTCCACCGGCCCAGCTTCTACGCCGAGCGCTTCTTCAAGTTCATGAGCAACACCGTGTTCCGGAAGAACTCCTGTGAGCCACCCCGAGGGATGCCGCAAAGCGAGGGGTCAGGGAGGCCCTTGTCCCTGGGCTCACAGCCCAGCCAGCCCCTGCAGAGCCCAGAGCCGGTGCCCCTGTGCGGGCAGAGAGCAGCCGTGCATGCATTCCAGGCCTGAACACAGAGGGGAGGCCGCGGGGGCCTGCGGGCAGCCCTGACCACTCCGCCCTCTGCTCCCTGCCCCTGCAGCTCTGAAGTCCTCGCCCTCCAAGAAGGGGCGCGGTGCCTTGCTGGCGGTCAAGCCGCTGGGGCCCACAGCCGCCTTCTCAGCCAGCCAGATCCCCAGTGAGCGGGATGAGGCACAGTATGACCTGCGGGGGGCACGCAGCTACCCCACGCTGGAGGATGAAGGTGATGGCATACGGGGACTGGGTTTGATTTTTTTGAGGTCAAGGTGGGGACCTTGCAGAGGGACAGCGGCACACGCCTCTGCAGGTGCCAGGGGTAGATCCACTGCCTGAGTGGTTGGCACCCCTGTCCACAGGCCGGCCAGACCTCCTGCCCTGCACTCCGCCGTCTTTTGAGGAAGCCACCACTGCTTCCATCGCCACGACCCTGTCGTCCACCTCCCTGTCCCTCCCAGAGCGGTCGCCGTCCGAGACGTCGGAGCAGCCGCGGTACAGGTGGGCGGGCCGTGTGGGGGACCGTGGGCAGGCGAGCGGGCAAGTGGGTGCCCTCCTCACTTCACCAGCTGCCATTGGCATCTCTGCAGGCGGCGCACGCAGTCGTCGGGACAGGATGGCCGGTGAGACACCCCAGCCCTGGGCTTCTCCATGGGGAGGAGGGGTCCTTCCCTGGCATCAGGAGGTCCCCAGGGTAACGGGGGTTCCCACAGGCCTCACTGAGGCTGCCCCCTCGCCCAGGCCTCCCGAGGAACCACCGGCCGAGGAGGACGTGCAGCAGCTCAGCGTGCAGGTGGAGCCGGCCTGCAGCGTGGAGATTGTGGAGCCCACGGAGGCGGCTGCAGGGTGAGCTGGCGGTGGGCCGGGGCGGAAGTTCTCCACCTGCTGGCTCCCTCCCTACATGCCCACCACAGCCAGGGCTGGGCCAGGAGCCAGGACCTCCATCGGGGTCTCCCCCGTGGGTGTGGGGGTCCCGGGTACATCCACAGGGGATTGGACCCTAGAGCCTGTCCTTGCTTGCTTGTTACTCATTGCCTTCTGCCCACGCATACTGTGCCCACTCAACGACCCCGGGCTCTGCCTGGCGCCCCACCTGCGCACGCACATGCACACGCACCTGCACACACGCTCGCACGCCTGCACACACCTGGAACAACCACAGAGAGGCTTGGGCCCAGGGCACAGGCAGGCGACGGCTCAGAGGGAAGGGGTGCAGCCGAGGCGTGTGAGCAGCGGCAGGCGCGTGGGCTGAGGTCAGCCCGATCCGATCTGCCCCACGTCCCCCAGGGTGGAGGCTACCTCGGCTACTGTGGAGGCAGAGACGGCCAGCCAGGCCTCGGAGCCCGCCAGCCAGGCCTCGGACGAGGAGGACACGCCGGCCCCAGACATCTACTTTGTGAGTGCCCCACAGGCCCCCGCCCCATTGCACACACAGCTGCTTGCACTCACACTGGCACATCGAACCCGCTTGCGTGGCCGTGTACTCAGGCGCTGCAGCCGCTGCGTCCCCCCTGCCCAACTCGCCCCTCACCCCACAGGAGAGCCAGGCCGGGACTGAGGCTCTGCTGGCTCCTTGGGGATTCCACCCCATGTGGGACTGAACCCGTGACCCTGTGCCAGACGCAGCCTGTCACCTGGGGAGCCGGAGGTCCGGTCGGGCTCAGCTTGGGCCAGGCAGCGGGGGAGCCCGAGGCCGGCCAGGGGTGAGGCTGGGCCAGGCGGGGCTCCCTTCTGCGGAAGGAAGGAGGGACTGTGAGTCTGCACCCCACCACCTGGCCAGAGCTGAGCTATGGGCTTCTGGCATCTGCACGCTGGGCGAGGTGGCCCGGTCCCGTGCTGCCATGGGGGTGGAGGGGGCAGACGAAGGTGGCAGGGCACCCCGAGAAACCTCCCCAGCACCCCTGCTTATGCTCCCGCCTCCTGCCTGCTGGGCTCCTGTCGCCTCACCCGCTCTCTGTCTCCTTCCTGCCCCCCCCCGCACCCGCCCAGTTCACGGACGGGAGATACTGGATTTATTCTCCCCACCATCGCCGACTGCGGGCCGTGACCCCGAGCTCCTCGGGCGCTGTAAGTGACCGCAGCCGGCCACCCTGGCCTGACTCCCCGGCCCCCGGCGTCCGCCTCGGGGATGTCCAGGCTGCGGCTGCCCGTCACCCACCACCGCAGGCACGGACAAGTGCACCCACGTGTGTTGGGGTCTGCCCAGACCCCAGCACAGCCGCTGCTGTGGTGGAGTGTGGGGCATGACACTTCCCACTGCCACAGGACAACTGGCGGCCAGAGGCTGCGGTCTGAGGGCCGCTGCCCAGCTGGGGCAGCCGGGCCTGGGCGCCTGGCGCGGCCACCACGTGGTCGTGCACCCAGGGAACACTTCGCCCAGGGCCTAGAGAAGCAGTGCGGTTTAGGCAGAAGCGCATGGCAATGGGACAGGGCACAGGCCTGCGCCGGAGTCCATGTCCCTGACACGGAGCCCCTTAGAGCTGTGTCGCCCCCATGCCCTCAGCTAAGCCTTCAGAGCTGCCAGGTGTGCGCTGGGTGGACCAGCCCAAAGCCATAGGCAGAGCTTCCCCAAGGGGCTGGCAGGGGTAGGGGCGCATGTAGCAGCAGGCAGGCAGGATGCAAATGGGGTACCCCTCTAGTGTAGCTCCCCAGGGACTCACTGGGGCAGCGGCTGCTCCTTGTCTCATCCCTTAGGCTCGGCTGCTTTTACCCTTGGTTTGGAACAGAGCAGCCCATGGGGCCTGGGCCGGCTGTCTGGAAGATGGCCTGAGCTGCCTTTAGCAAGCCAGGGGCTGGGCACTACTTCCATGCCTGCTGTGGGCAGCCAAAGGCCAGGGGCTTTGCCCACTGTGGTCAGCCAGGGTCTGGGGGCATCACCCACTGTGGTCAGCCAGGGCTTGTGGGCATTGCCCACTGTGGTCAGCCAGGGTCTGGGGGCATCACCCACTGTGGTCAGCCAGGGGCTTGGGGGCATCGCCCACTGTGATCAGCCAGGGTCTGGGGGCATCACCCACTGTGGTCAGCCAGGGTCTGGGGGTGTCGCCCACTGTGGTCAGCCAGGGTCTGGGGGCGTCGCCCACTGTAGTCAGCCAGGAGCTTTGGGGGCATCGCCCACTGTGGTCAGCCAGGGTCTGGGGGTGTCGCCCACAGTGGTCAGCCAGGAGCTTGGGGGTGTCAACCACTGTGGTCAGCCATGGCCTGGGGGTGTCACCCACTGTGGTCAGCCAGGGTCTGGGGGCGTCGCCCACTGTAGTCAGCCAGGAGCTTTGGGGGCATCGCCTACTGTGGTCAGCCAGGGGCTTGGGGGTGTCACCCACTGTGGTCAGCCAGGGGCTTGGGGGTGTCACCCACTGTGGTCAGCCAGGGGCTTGGGGGTGTCACCCACTGTGGTCAGCCAGGGTCTGGGGGTGTCGCCCACTGTGGTCAGCCAGGGTCTGGGGGTGTTGCTCACTGTGGTCAGCCAGGGTCTGGGGGTGTCGCCCAATGTAGGCAGCCAGAGGCTGGGCAATGCTCCCACGCTTGCAGTCAGGGGCTCGGAGACGGGCATCCGCTGTGGGGAGCAAGGGTTGAGGGCATCACTCGTCACAGGGAGCCAGGGGCTGGGGGGTTGGCAACCTCTGTGGGGAACAAGGGCTGGGCCGGATGGCGCCCATTGTGGGGAGCCAGGGTTGGGGGTATCACTCACCACAGGGAGCCACGGCTGGGGGCCACCTGCTCTGGGCACCCGGGGCTGGGCCGCGTGGGGCCTGTGAAGTCAGGCCTAGTAGCAGGCAGTAGACTGTCTTGGGTACAAGGGGAGGTGGGCCAGCACAGATGACGCTGCAGGTACATGTGGAGCTGGGGAAGTGGGGGTCCAGCAGCGCCCTGAGCAGGCAGGTGAGCGGAGCCCAGATCGAGTGGAGATGCTGTTGGTCCCTGGCTGCCGGGGGGCCGGAGGGGTGCAGGAAGCCTGGACGCGTTCATACTGGCTGCGTGTTCACAGCCAAGGCCACTCAGCTGGATGTGGCCGGCCTGGCTGAGCTCAGACCAGCAGCTGCCATGCTGGTGGTGTCACGGGGCCCTTGGAAGAGCGGGGTGTGGCTGGCAGCTTTGAGGCCAGGTGGGGAGAGCTGGGTTGGATCTGACCCTGGGCCAGGCCCCCCAGTGGCCCCCAGAAACCAGCGTGTGGCCGAGGGGTCCCCGGGCTCCCGGAGCTGGGCCAGGATGGGTCCCAGAGGCAGCCCAGCCCCATCCTAACACATCCCCCCCCCCCCTCCTGCCTTTTCCTCCGTCTGTCACTGTCTCAGGCCTCTGCCTCGACCCAGCTAAGCGCTTCCTGTTGCCAACCCCGCTCGCCGGCCAGCTGAGCCGGGCCGGCCACGGACTGGGGGCAGGTCCGGGTCAGAGAGGTTCAGCCACGGGAGCGGGGCGGGCTTCGGGGCCGCTGCTCAGCCGCCCTCGGGTTCTCTTTTTATTTTCTCCTCTTTCTTCCTTCCTCCCTCTGCCTCTCGCGCCTCCTGCACCCTGCTCTTCCTGCACGTGCCCGCCCGCCCGCCCACAGCCCACCGATGAAAGGAGCTGGGTGTACTCCCCGCTTCACTATAGCGCACAGGCCCAGCCGGCCTCGGACGGCGAGAGCGACACAGTAAGTGCGGCCCGGCCAGCTGGGGCCTCCCAGGCTCCCTGGAGAGTCCCTGGCTGCAGGTGGCCCCGGCGGGCAGGGCCCTCGCCTGCCTGCCTGCCTGCCCCCATGGCCTCACCTCTGCCCCATCTCTCCCTTGCAGTAACTTCTATGCAGTTCCTGGACCCGGAGCCCAGCGCCTGCCCGCCACCGCCCTCCAAGGCCCAGGCCGCCCCCTGGACAGAGGCAGCCGGCTGTGCCCTTCCCTGCCACACAGCTCCGGGCTGCAGCGCCCATGGGCCCCGTGCCGCTGACTCCCCGTGCGCCACCCCCCTACCCCGTATTTATTGTTTGGGTCCCTCCTGCCGCACAGTGGAGCACAGCGACAGAGGATGAGGGGGCTGCACCCTCAGGCTCCTTGCCTCAGTTCCTGGGAGCTGGCGCCCCGGTCCCCACCTTGCCCACTGGGCAGCTCTGAACCCAGAGGATCCAGGGCCACCCCTACTCCCCTACAGGTCATCCCTCCCTCCGCTCAGGTCTGGGGACCCGTGGCGCCAGGCCCGTCCTCACAGTGTGTCCTGCCAGCGTCCCTGTCCCAGCTGGATCCCAGCAGCCCCCTGACTGCCAGGAGGCCGGAGTGTGCGACCCAGGGCGGACGGAGTGAGTGGACAGGGGGCAGCGATGGTACCCCAGGCCCTGGAAGTGTCCTCTGGACGCTGGAGCAGAAGCACCCCTGTAGGGGCAGCCACTCCGGGGACGCAGCCAGGCCCAAGGGGCCCAGTGGCCCTTGGGCCACTGCTGTGTTTGTGGGGAGCTGTGCTGGGCGGCTCTGGAGGAAGCAGGGACCAGCCCGAGGAATTCCCCATCCAGGAATTTGCTTGGTTAGTTCCTCGCAGTGCTGCCCTCGCCCCCCCACCCCCACGTTGGCCACTCTGCTGCTGCCCCCGGTCCACCCACGTCCGCCGGCCTCCAGCTCGGGGCCAGGAGGGACACACAGGGACCATGGAGGAGGCCGTGCCCAGGTCCTGGGAGCCACGTGTCGCCTGCCCAGAGCCAAGAGGCTGGCCTGGGCCAGGGGACACCCTGCCGCCCTGACTGTCCTGTGTGTGTGTGCGTGTGTGACTATACGTGTGTGTGTGTGTGACATCACGGAGGTCCTGAGCGGGCCCCTGTTTGAGGACCAGAGACCTGATTGGTGGGGGGTGGGGGCGTCCAGGGGTGGGAGGGGCCGTGAGTGATGTCACACCCAAGGACCCCATCCCCGCTCGCCCCCCCCAGGGGTCTGAATCTTTGTACTGTAATACTGAAGACTGACAAGCTGGCCACTCCGCTGTCCCCCTGCCCTGGCCACCCTCCCCTTACACCTGGCTCAGTGCAATACGGCCCCCCCGGCCCCCAGCCCCCGGCCCCCGCTATGGTACTGTCGCCGCGGCCCCTTGGCCCCCGGCCTCCCTTTCTCCAGTGGTTCAAATACATCACTCCCGCCCGCCCTCGTTTCTGCGTCTGAACCGATTCTGAAATGAATCTGCAAATCTGTGTCTTAAATGTCCCCCAGGGACCCTGTGTCCTCCCCCCCCCCAACGGTCTGGGACGTGACAATCCAGCTGGGGTGCCCAGGGCCAGGGGACCCCGTGGTCCAGCACGCTGCTGCTGGCCCCAGACCACACATACCCGAATGCAGCCCTGGCCCCCGGCCACCCTCCCCACAGTCCCTCTTTTTACGTTGAGATTAATAAATTGGGTATTGCCATCAGCCAGCTGCCCCTGCCTTTGCCTCTGGCTCTTGCTCATGCGCTCTGTCCCTGGGGACCTGGCTGGGGTTGGAGGACTGAACAGAATCTTGGGGTGCAGAGCCCAGACAGCCATGACTGGCCTTGGGCTGCAGCTGGAAGCTTCTGACATCCAGGTGACACTGGCACCCTGGGGTGGTACCCCATTCCCACCACGGTGATGCCCCCAACAGCACTGAACAAGCACAAGGCCTTGCCCGCCTCCACGTGTCCCAGTGGCAGTCATGGAAGGGGAAACGCAGGGACTGCCCAGGACCACGTCTTCCCAGCACCATGGCAGCCTGCATCCCAGGACCAGTACTGTCAGCTCTGGCATAACAGGGGGCAGAGCTGGGCCGGCTGACAGCGCCAAGGCCGCGGGGATGGGGACGGTGGGAGCGGCTCGGCGACCTCCCGGGATGGACTGGGCTCGAACCTGCGACCTGGCTGAACTCCGGCTCTCAGGCACGCCTCCCGCCGGCCACGCCCACACCGCGCCGCCGGCCACGCCCACGCGTGACCACGCCCTCCGTCCCTCCCACTCGGCGCCTCAGGACCCCTGAGGAAGCGCAGGGCCCTGCCGGGGCTGCCCCCAGCACTGCCTGACGCACGAGCGCCGCCCGCGGAGGCCGAGGCTGCTGTCCTCTGTGGCTCTCGGGCTGCGGAGAGCGGCAGCAGCGACGTCCGCGGGCGCCGGGCATCCAGGCGGGCTAGGCGGGCCGGAGCGCGGGCTGTGCCGGGGCGGGCGCCGACGAGGGCAGCCCGGCGTGCGCCGCGGCCACGGAAGGCCCCCGGCTCGGGGCGCGAGGCCGGCCGGCTGCCCGATGGGTCGGCACAGCCGCTCCCGCTCGCGCTCGCCCGGGCGCCGGGGCCATGGACGACGGCGGGAACGCGGGGCGCACGATCGGCGGGGGAGCCGGGAGCGCAGGTGGGCGCCGAGGGGAGGGCAGAGGCGGCGGGACCCGAGACGGCCCGTCCGGGACCCCGAACCCAGACCCCGGGGACGCCGCGACCCTGTGGACACCCCGTCCCTATAGACACCGCGACCCTATAGACGCCGCGACCCTATAGACGCCGCGACCCTATAGACACCCCGTCCCTATAGACACCGCGACCCTGTAGACACCCCGTCCCTATAGACACCGCGACCCTATAGACGCCCCGTCCCTGTAGACACCGCGACCCTATAGACGCCGCGACCCTATAGACGCCGCGACCCTGTAGACACCCCGTCCCTGTAGACACCCCGTCCCTGTAGACACCGCGACCCTGTAGACACCGCGACCCTGTGGACACCCCGTCCCTATAGACACCCCGTCCCTGTGGACACCCCGTCCCTATAGACACCGCGACCCTATAGACGCCCCGTCCCTATAGACACCGCGACCCTATAGACACCGCGACCCTGTAGACACCCCGTCCCTATAGACACCGCGACCCTATAGACGCCCCGTCCCTGTAGACACCGCGACCCTATAGACACCGCGACCCTGTAGACACCGCGACCCTGTGGACACCCCGTCCCTATAGACGCCCCGTCCCTATAGACACCGCGACCCTATAGACGCCCCGTCCCTATAGACACCGCGACCCTGTAGACACCCCGTCCCTATAGACACCGCGACCCTGTAGACACCTCATTCCAAGACACCCCTCCTCACACCCCGTCCTCACACCCCTCCTCACACCCCGTCCTCACACCCCATCCTCACACCCCGTCCTCACACCCCGTGCTCACACCCCGTGCTCACACACCCTGTCCTCACACCCTGTCCTCACACCCTGTCCTCACACCCCGTGCTCACACCCCGTCCTCACACACCCCGTGCTCACACCCCGTGCTCACACACCCCGTGCTCACACACCCCGTGCTCACACCCCGTGCTCACACACCCCGTGCTCATACCCTGTCCTCACACCCCGTGCTCACACCCCATCCACACACACCCCGTGCTCACACCCCGTGCTCACACACCCCGTCCTCACACCCCGTCCTCACACCCTGTCCTCACACCCTGTGCTCACACCCCGTGCTCACACCCCGTCCTCACACACCCCGTGCTCACACCCTGTGCTCACACACCCCGTGCTCACACCCTGTGCTCACACCCCGTGCTCACACACCCCGTGCTCACACCCCGTGCTCACACCTCGTGCTCACACCCCGTGCTCACACACCCTGTCCTCACACACCCCGTCCTCACACACCCCGTGCTCACACCCCGTGCTCACACCCCGTGCTCACACACCCCGTGCTCACACCCCGTGCTCACACCTCGTGCTCACACCCCGTGCTCACACACCCTGTCCTCACACACCCCGTCCTCACACACCCCGTGCTCACACACCCCGTGCTCACACCCCGTGCTCACACACCCCGTCCTCACACCCCATGCTCACACACCCTGTCCTCACACCCTGTCCTCACACCCCCCATGCTCACACCCCGTCTTCACACCCCCCATGCTCACACCCCGTGCTCACACACCCGTATCCGGTGCCCTCCCCCTGCTCCCTGCAGCAGGTGGCTGTGCTCCTGGGGGCCTGTCCCCTGACCTGCCCCTGTCACCCAGGTCTGGCTCCGAGGACGGGCGCCGGCATCGGCGCAGCCGGAGCCCCCGGCCCCACAGGCGGCGGTCGCGCTCGGGCTCGCGGGAGGCGCGGCGGGCGCGGCGCTCCTGGTCCGGGGGCTCGTCCTCGGGCAGCCGCACGCACAGCCCCACCGAGGCCGAGGAGGCGCTGAGCCGGCAGCAGAGGCTGCAGGAGCGGCTGCGGCTGCGGCAGGAGCGCAAGCAGCAGGAGGAGCTGCTCAAGGCCTTCGAGACGCCCGAGGAGAAGCGCGCACGCCGGCTGGCCAAGAAGGAGGCCAAGGAGCGCAAGAAGCGGGAGAAGATGGGCTGGGGCGAGGAGTACCTGGGCTACACCAACACCGACAACCCCTTCGGGGACAACAACCTGCTGGGCACCTTCATCTGGAACAAGGTGGGCTCGGCTGCCTTGGGCTGCTCTGTCCCCCCTCGGGGTGCCGTGTGCCGCTCTGTCCTGCCTTGGGGTGCTGTGTGCTGCTCTGTCCCCCCTCGGGGTGCCGTGTGCTGCTCTGTCTCTCCTGGGGATGCCGTGTGCTGCTCTGTCTCCCCTCGGGGTGCTGTGTACTGCTCTGTCCCCCCTCGGGGTGCTGTGTGCTGCTCTGTCCCCCCTCGGGGTGCCGTGTGCTGCTCTGTCCTGACTTGGGGTGCTGTGTGCTGCTCTGTCCCCCCTCGGGGTGCCGTGTGCTGCTCTGTCCTGACTTGGGGTGCTGTGTGCTGCTCTGTCCCCCCTCGGGGTGCTGTGTCCTGCTCTGTCTCTCCTGGGGGTGCCGTGTGCTGCTCTGTCCCCCCTCGGGGTGCCGTGTGCTGCTCTGTCCCCCCTCGGGGTGCCGTGTCCTGCTCTGTCTCTCCTGGGGATGCCGTGTGCTGCTCTGTCCTGGCTTGGGGTGCCGTGTGCTGCTCTGTCCCCCCTCGGGGTGCTGTGTCCTGCTCTGTCCTGACTTGGGGTACCGTGTGCCGATCTGTCTCTCCTCGGGGTGCCGTGTGCTGCTCTGTCCCCCCTCGGGGTGCCGTGTACTGCTCTGTCTCTCCTCGGGGTGCCGTGTGCCGCTCTGTCCCCCTTAGGGTGCCGTGGCCTGCTCTGTCCCCCCTTAGGGTGCCATTGCCTATTCCCTGCAGGATGGCCCGGGCCCAGCCAGCCTCTGTGCCCGCCTGCACTTGGTGGGACCCGCCGAGCTGGCAGCCCGGGCGCCCCGAGCGTCCCCACGCTGCCCGGGATGGTGCTGGCGCCCTGGCACCCCGTGGCACGCCTCCCCTCCCGCCCTGCCCGGGCCGGGTCGCCCCTGAGCACCGCGTCCCCGCAGGCGCTGGAGAAGAAAGGGATCAGCCACCTGGAGGAGAAGGAGCTGAAGGAGCGCAACAAGCGCATCCAGGAGGACAACCGGCTGGAGCTGCAGAAGGTCAGCGGGAGCCCCGCCCCCAGCGCGACACGCCCACGGCCACGCCCACAGGCCGTGGACACGCCCACACGCCGCCACGCCCGCCAGACCTGGCACGCCCACGCGTCACGCCCACCGGACACGCGCACGCTCTCACACCCTGCCCATGCCCCACGCGCGTCACGGCCACGCGCACGTTGCGTCAGGCGTGCGCCCCGCCCACCGCCCTCACGCCCCGCCCACCGCCCCTCGCGCCCCGCCCTCACGCCCCGCCCACCGCCCGTCGCGCCCGCAGGTGAAGCAGCTCCGGCTGGAGCGCGAGCGGGAGAAGGCCATGCGGGAGCAGGAGCTGGAGCTGCTGCAGCGGGAGAAGGAGGCCGAGCACTTCAAGACGTGGGAGGAGCAGGAGGACAACTTCCACCTGCAGCAGGCCAAGCTGCGGTGCGGGGGGTGCAGGGGTGCGGGCACGTGAGGGGTGCGGGACCGTGAGGGGTGAGGGGCGTGTGAGGGGGTGAGGGACCATGAGGGGGTGAGGGGCGAGGGACCGTGAGAGGATGAGGGATCGTGAGGGGTGTGGGCACGTGAGGGGTGCGGGACCGTGAGGGGTGAGGGGCGTGTGAGGGGCGAGGGACCATGAGGGGGTGAGGGATCGTGAGGGGTGCGGGCACGTGAGGGGTGAGGGATGCACGCACGTGAGGGGGTGAGGGATCGTGAGGGGTGCAAGCGCGTGAGGGGTGCAGGCATGTGAGGGGTGCGGGCACGTGAGGGGTGCGGGCACGTGAGGGGTGCGAGCACGTGAGGGGTGCAGGCACGTGAGGGGTGCGGGCACGTGAGAGGTGTGGGCACGTGAGGGGTGCAAGCACGTGAGAGGTGAGGGATCATGAGGGGTGAGGGATCGTGAGGGGTGCGGGACCGTGAGGGGTGCGGGCACGTGAGGGGTGAGGGCACGTGAGGGGGTGCGGGACCCTGAGGGGTGTGGGCACATGGGGAGGTGCGGGACCGTGCGGGTGAGGGGGCGCACAGCCCGTGGGTTGTGCCCGGCCCTCCCGCCGGCTGACACCCCCGCCCCCCCAGGTCCAAGATCCGCATCCGGGACGGGCGGGCCAAGCCCATCGACCTGCTGGCCAAGTACATCAGCGCCGAGGACGACGACCTGGCCGTGGAGATGCACGAGCCCTACACCTTCCTCAACGGCCTCACCGTGGCCGACATGGAGGACCTGCTGGAGGACATCCAGGTCCGCGCCCACGGGCCGGGCTCCCCGCACACCCACCCACGGGGCCGGGCTCCTCGCACACCGCACCCACAGGGCCGGGCTCCCCACACACCCACCCACGGGGCCGGGCTCCCCGCACACCCACCCACGGGCCGGGCTCCCCGCACACCCACCCACCCACCCACGGGGCCGGGCTCCCCACACACCCACCCACCCACGGGGCCGGGCTCCCCGCACACCCACCCACGGGCCGGGCTCCCCGCACACCCACCCACGGGCCGGGCTCCCCGCACACCCACCCACGGGGCCGGGCTCCCCGCACACCGCACCCCACAGGGCCGGGCTCCCCTTGTATGCCTCAGCTCCCCCACAGGGCAGGGCCTCCCCTCCCCTCCCCTCCCCTCACCCCGCTCCCCTCCCCTCACCCCGCTCCCGCCCGCAGGTCTACATGGAGCTGGAGCAGGGCAAGAATGCCGACTTCTGGCGGGACATGACAATCATCACCGAGGACGAGACGGCCAAGCTGCGGAAGCTGGAGGCCTCGGGCAAGGGCCCAGGTGCACCGGACAGGCCCTGCCAGCCCCGCTGCCCTCGCAGCCGCCCTGTGGGATGGTCACGGCCAGGCGGGTGGGGGCCGGGGAGGGGGAACCCCGCGTGGCCAGAGGGGCCCCAGCAGCAGCTTCCCCGCCATCCCCCGTTCCTGCGACAGATGCCGGCATTGGCCACCTTCCAGGGTGGGTCCGGGTGGGCCTTGTGCAGCGGTGGGGCCGGGATGGTCCTGCCGGGCCCCTGCATGGCCGTGCTGAGCGGCCCCCCGTCCCCGCAGGCGAGCGCCGCGAGGGGGTCAACGCCTCCGTCAGCTCGGACGTGCAGTCGGTGTTCAAGGGCAAGACGTACAGCCAGCTGCAGGTCATCTTCCAGGGCATCGAGGGCAAGATCCGGGCGGGCGGCCCCAACCTGGACATGGGCTACTGGGAGAGCCTGCTGCAGCAGCTGCGCGCACACATGGCCCGGGCCAGGTGAGCCCTGCGCGTACGGCAGGGTGTGAGCACGGATCCCCGGCCTGCTCGGCCCCCGTCCCAGGGCTCGGCTCCCGTCCCAGGGCTCGGCTCCCGTCCCGGGACTCAGCTCATGGCCCAGCCAGCTGCAGCTCAGCGGGCCTCGGGCGCCCGGGCCTGGCCTCGGCCCACGCCTGTGAGTGTGCGCCCTGGGACGGGCCCGCCGCTGCCTGGCCCCTCTGCCACACGTCCTGCTGTGGCCCAGCCGGGCTGGTGGGAGCATCCTGGCTGGGGTGGGGGTATCTGGGACCGAGGCAGGGGGACAGAGCCCGTGGCCCCTGGTGGGGAAGGGACAGGGCCCCAGGCCCCAGCCAAGCCCTCCTGGCCCCTGCGCAGGCTCCGTGAGCGCCACCAGGACGTGCTGCGCCAGAAGCTGTACAAGCTGAAGCAGGAGCAGGGCGTGGAGAGCCAGCCGCTGTTCCCCATCATCAAGACTGAACCCCACTCCCCCAGCCACAGGTACGGCCCCGCCCACCTCCCCTGAGGCCCCGCCTTCTCCCAAGGCCCCGCCCACCTCCCTGAGGCCCCGCCTTCCCCCAAGGCCCCGCCCACCTCTCCTGAGGCCCCGCCTTCTCCCGTGGCCCCGCCCACCTCCGAGGCCCCGCCCTCCCTCATGCCCCGCCCTCCGCCTCTCCCAGCCTGCAGCCCGAGCCACCGGCCCCCAGCCCCCCGGGACCCTCGGGCACCGACGGGCCCCCGACCGAGCCCGAGGCTGAGGACGCGGCGCCCCCGGCCGAGGGCGAGGGCGACGGCGAGGGCGACGGGGAGGCGGTGCTCATGGAGGAGGACCTGATCCAGCAGAGCCTGGACGACTACGACGCCGGCAAGTACAGCCCGCGGCTGCTGTCGGCGCACGAGCTGCCGCTGGACGCGCACGTGCTGGAGCCCGACGAGGACCTGCAGCGCCTGCAGCTGTCCCGCCAGCAGCTGCAGGTCACGGGTGCGCGGGGCGGGGCCTGGGGGAGGGCGGGGCCTGAGCCGGGGAGGCGGGGCCTAGGGAGGGAGAGGGCGGGGCCTGGGCTGGGAAGGCGGGGCCTAGGGAGGGGGAGGGCGGGCTTGAGCCGGGGAGGCGGGGCTTGAGCCGGGGAGGTGGGGCCTGGGGAGAGGGTGAGACCTGGGGAGGGAGAGGGCGGGGCTTGAGCCGGGGAGGCGGGGCCTAGGGAGGGAAAGGGCGGGGCCTGGGGAGGGCGGGGCTAAGAAGGGGAAGGCGGGGCCTGGGGAGGGAGAGGGCAGGGCTTGAGCCGGGGAGGCCGGGCCTGGGGAGAGGGCGGGGCCTGAGCTGGGAAGGCGGGGCCTAGGGGGGGGAAAGGGCGGGACCTGGGGAGAGGGCGGGGCCTGAGGAGGGTGGGGCTGAGACAGGAAAGGCGTGGCCTGGGAGGACGAGGGCGGGGCCCGACAGCGGGGTGGCCTGGGTCCGGCCCTCACCCCCACCCTGACCCCCACCCTGACCCCCACCCTGACCCCGCAGGCGACGCGAGCGAGAGCGCCGAGGACATCTTCTTCCGGCGCGCGCGCGAGGGCATGGGGCAGGACGAGGCGCAGTTCAGCGTGGAGATGCCGCTGAGCGGCCGCGCCTACCTGTGGGCCGACAAGTACCGGCCGCGCAAGCCGCGCTTCTTCAACCGCGTGCACACGGGCTTCGAGTGGAACAAGTACAACCAGACGCACTACGACTTCGACAACCCGCCGCCCAAGATCGTGCAGGGCTACAAGTTCAACATCTTCTACCCCGACCTCATCGACAAGCGCGCCACGCCCGAGTACTTCCTGGAGGCGTGCGCCGACAACCGCGACTTCGCCGTGCTGCGCTTCCACGCGGGGCCGCCCTACGAGGACATCGCCTTCAAGATCGTCAACCGTGAGTGGGAGTACTCGCACCGCCACGGCTTCCGCTGCCAGTTCGCCAACGGCATCTTCCAGCTCTGGTTCCATTTCAAGCGTTACCGCTACCGCCGCTGAGCTGGGGGACACCGGGCACCCCGGGACTGCCGGGCCGTCCCAGGGGCACCCCGGGACTGCCGGGCCGTCCCAGGGGCACCCCGAGACTGCCGGGCCGTCACAGGGGCACCCCAGGACTGCTGGGCCGTCACAGGGGCACCCCGGGACTGCCGGGCCGTCACAGGGACACCCCGGGACTGCTGGGCCATCACAGGGGCACCCCGGGACTGCTGGGCCGTCGCAGGGGGCACCCCAGGACTGCTGGGGGCCTGCAAGAACCCGGCCCCAGCACCCTGAGGTCCTGCAGTGCTTAGCTGCCCCAGGTGGGCGTGCAGGGGCTGTGGCCCATCGTCCGGACCTCCCCACGCTGGCCTGGTCCTGCAGGCACCCACACACCCTGCCAGCCCAGCGCCCACAGGCCACCCCACCCCACCCCACCGGGCTGGCTGCCTGCAGCTGGAAGCGTTTCTGTTTCTCTACAGACTTTTTCTTAGGTGGAAAATCCATTATTTTCACAGAATCGTCTGCTTGTGAAACAACATGTTTTTCTAATAAATGTTTTATTTTAGAATAATCGTAGGTTCACAGACGGGCCGCGCCCCGCCAAGGCTGACGTCTCGTCTCTGGTAACGGCCGGCCCCACCTGGGCCCCTGGGAAGCGCTGGCTGGGTGGCCATGGGCTCCCAGCATCCTCCGGGCGCAGGGCTGCATGCAGCGGTCCTGGCACCCCGTGCCCGCCAGGGTCCTTCCCCCCCAGAGGACCCTCGTGGGTCCCACCCAGCTACCCCGTGACCCGGGCACACCTGGCATCCTGGTGGCTGACCCCCAACTGCCACCCTTCCTGACCGGCTGTATCCAGACCAAGAATAGCCACGCACGTGCTGCCGCCACCGGAAACCGCAGCCACGGGGGGCGCATCCTGAAGAACGCCTTCCCACCCACCACTGCGGCCCCCAAGGCCGCCCAGCTCCACACACCATGCGACCCGAGCCCGTGGGAACAGGGGCGGGCCCCGGCCAAGCAGTCAGTGCCCCGGATGTGCAGGGACCAGAGAATGAACCAGGCATCCGGAGCCCTGCCCCGCGGAGGGGCCCCCTGCCCAGCTGCTTCCCAGCAGGCTGGACATTGTCCTATCTCGGGATGCAGGAAGTGGGGCCGGAACAGCCGCCCTGCCTCCACCAGCCTCTCCCTCGGAGCCGCTCCTAGGAGCCCTCCGCTGGACCTCGCCCTGCGGCCCAGTCTCACCACCAGCCCACAGGGACCCTCTGCTCTGCTCCCCATCAGCCTGGGTCCTTAGGCAGAGCTGGGTCACAGGGTGATGGCAGTGGGACAGTCAGGGAGGGGACACACATGCAGGACGGGGTGGGATCCTTGGGGGCAGGGGGACAGACAGGATGGGGGACACGGACAGGATGGGGAACCCTCAGGGGGCAGGGGGACACAGGATGGGGGACCCTCAGGGTGCAGGGGGACATGGGCAGGATGGGGGACCCTCAGGGGGCAGGGGGACATGGACATGATGGGGGGCCCTCGGGGGGCAGGGGGACACAGGATGGGGGACATGGGCAGGATGGGGGACCTCAGGGTGCAGGGGATGTAGACAGGATGGGGGACCCTCGGGGGGCAGGAGGCACTGACCGGGCACAGGGGAGAAGGCGGCTGGCTGGGCAGCAGTTAGAGTGTCCTGGGACAGGGTGGGCGTCCCACTGGAGCCCCAGCTTAGGGCCAAGATCGCATCTGCTCCACCAGCAAACCTTGGCCGAGCAGTTGGTGCCGGGATCCCCTCGGCCTCCCGTCCCCCAACCGGGAGTCCTGAGTGAACCCCGAGTGTGGAGGGGGGTGTGCCAGCACCCCAGGCTCCTCTGGGACTCCCCCAGGCACCTGCCAGGACCCTCACCCCAGCCTCAGGTGTCACACAGCACCAGGTCCCCCGCCCCCCCACACATACACGCTGCTGAACGGGCCCTGCGCTTAGTGAGCACCAGCTGTATGCCGGCCCGGCGTCCTCGGGGAGCGAGCTGCCTTGCCAGCCCTCCCCCTGCAGCCTGGGGCGCTGCCCGGACGCTCAAGAACGCGGGGAGGGGGGCCTGGCGGCGGGAGTGCCGGGAAGCAGCGGCCCGGGGCTTGCGGGGAGCGTGGCGTGGCGCCCCAGAGGCCGGCTGCACCCCGAGGGTCCCACGGGCGCCCCGGCTGCACCCCGAGGGTCCCACGGGCGCCCCGGCTGCACCCCGAGGGTCCCGCCCCCCACCCGCCGCGGCCCGGGAAGGGGCGGACCCGGGGCGGAGCCGGCAGAGGCAGCCGGCGGGACCCCACGGCGCGCGCGGGTCGCTCAGCCCCCGACGGGGCGCACGGGACTCGGCCTCCCCGGGGAGCCCCTGCACGGCCGCGGACCCGACTCGGCCTCCTGCGCTCCCACCCCGCGGCCGGCAGGTCCAGGTGAGCTCGGGGCGCACGGGCTGTGGGTGTGTCGGTGGGCGGTTCCGGGCTGGGCGCCTGGGCCGGGTGGGTGGGCAGCAGGCTCCGGGCCGCCCAGGCTGACCCCTGCTTCCGGCCAGGGCGGGCAGGGGGCTGTGAAGCCCCGAGCCCACGCGCGCGCGCGTCCGTCTCCCGTGGCCGCCGCTTTGGCGGGACTCGCTCCGGTCCTTGGCGCTGCGTCTTGTGCCCCAGCCAGCCGCGGCAGGGCTGACACGGAGCTGTGAAGCCTCCTGCTGCTACAAACAGGAAGTGTGTTCAAACAGGGACCCCCTGCGCTGGGAGCTGGGGTGGGGGCTGAGCATGTGTGTGCGTGTCCACGTGTGACAAGCCCCCACAGTGTCAGGCCACGGGGGCCTTTGGAGATGTGTGTGGGCGGGGGTCGAGATCACGGGGTCCCCCTGTACCTGGCCAGGATGGCTCGGTCCCAGCAGTGAGGGGTCCTGGCCGGCCCCATTTCACAGGGATGTGGCGAGGCTGCCGTCCAGGGAGTTGGGTGGGCCCAGGGCGCAGGGCCAGGCGGTGGGGGCCGGCGGCGCCTGGTGAGACACAAACTGATGGAGGAGGGGACTGTCGCATTCCAGGGGGGAGGACGGCTCAGGGCCCTGGACCAGCCAGTCACTGTAGGGACGCGCCGGCCTCTACCCAGGGCCTTGGCAACTGCGTACGTAGTTTCGGGGAACTCCAGGACCCAACCCCCAATCCCACCCTAGTCCCCGTCTATTTAGTATTGCAGAATCTGCGAGGTGCAGTGGAGGAGACAGGCGTCACAGTGCTGCTGCTTGGGGGCTGAGCTGGGTCCTGGACCAGGGACCCCAAAATAGCTGCTGTCCGCCCCCCCCCAACCCTCAGAGGGCAGTGCTGGGGCAGGGGGAGGGCGGGCTGGTTCCCCAGCCTCCCCCAGCTGAGGGCTCCACTGTGGAGACCAGAGTCAGGGCACTTGAGCCCCGGAAGGACCCCCCACTCCCGGTGCTCACAGTAGGGAGGACCCCTCCCTGTCCCAAGCCACAGGCAGCACAGCCGGTAGCCAGCAGGGACGCTGGGCCAGCCCAGCAGGAACCACAGACTGCCCAGGTTCCTAAAGGCGGGTGCGGGGTGGGGCGGGCACCGGGCCTGCCAGACACACCTGCAAACCCAGCCCCCAGTTTGTGTGTGCAGCAGCAGCCCTGTGTGGCCACAAAAGGAAATGGGTTCAGGGTGAAGACCTGGACTGGGAGGGTCCCACCCAGATCAGCTGCATGGCTGCATTACTTGGGCTGTGGAGTGGGAGGGGCGAAGGCCTGACCTGGGACACAGCCTGGCTCTTGCCCGCCGTGCCAGCCTCCCTCCTGTACCTAGTTCAAGTCCCAGCTCCCCTGCTTTCCGCCCCCCCCCCCCAGCTCCCCACTGACGCACAGCAGGGCTGGCTCCAGGCCTTGGGCCCCTGCCAGCCTCGTGGGAGGCCCGGATGGAGCTCCCAGCTCCCAGCAGGGTTTGGCCTAGCCCTGCCCGGGCTATCTTGGGCATCGGAGGAGCCAGGAGCTCCCATGCAGGCATCTCTCGGGGTGTGAGTGCCCGAGCACTTCCGGCCCCTGCCCAAGGCAGCATGCATGGGCAGGGAACCGGGTCAGGGGCCCTGGGCACTGGGGCGTGTGTTGCAAGAGTCTCAGGCCGCGTCCCTGGCTCTGCCTCACGTGGCCTCGTGTCGCTGCGTGGCGGGCCTGTCCCGTCACTCGGATCCCACCCTGGTGCCCTTTGGAGCCGGTCTCCAGGGAGCCCGTGCCCAGAGGGAGCTGGCATTCCTGTTTCTGCTCCTAAAAATGGAATTGGGCTTCTGTGACAAAAAGTGATATGGGTGACAAGGCGAAAACGGCACGAGTTCCCACTGTAGGATCTGACGCATGTGATCTGTGAGGAAGGGTGGAGGTGCCCCCCCCCAAGTTCCCGTGTGGGATGGGAGCCCCCCCTGGGCCCTGAACCCAAGTGGGAGCCCTGCAAGACAAGCCCTGCCTTCTCTCTGCCTGCAGGTGCATCTGCAGCCTGATGGCACCGTGAGGCCCGGGGCCATGTGGTCCAACGACAGCTCCCTGAGGCTCTGCTTCCGGCCCACCAACCTCAGCCTGGAGGAGCGCCAGCTCATTGCGTCTCCCTGGTTCGCCGCCTCCTTCTGCATCGTGGGCCTGGCCTCCAACCTGCTGGCACTGAGCGTGCTGGCAAGCGCCCGGGGTGGCGGCTCGCAGCGTTCCTCGTTCCTGACCCTGCTGGGCGGCCTGGTGCTGACCGACTTCCTGGGACTGCTGGTGACAGGCGTCATCGTGGCGGCCCAGCATGCCGCCCGCTTGGACTGGCGCACCGTGGACCCCGACTGCCACCTGTGCCACTTCATGGGCGTCGTCATGGTCTTCTTCGGGCTGTGCCCGCTGCTGCTGGGCGCCGCCATGGCCTCGGAACGCTTCCTGGGCATCACGCGGCCCTTCTCGCGCCCAGCGGCCGCCTCGCCACGCCGCGCCTGGGCCACCGTGGCGCTGGTGTGGGTGGCCGCGCTGGCACTGGGGCTGCTGCCGCTGCTGGGCCTGGGCCGCTACTCGGTGCAGTACCCGGGCTCCTGGTGCTTCCTCACGCTGGGCACAGGGCCGGGCGACGTGGCCTTCGGTCTGATCTTTGCACTGCTGGGCAGCCTGTCGGTGGCGCTTTCCTTCGTGCTCAACACCGTGAGCGTGGCCACGCTCTGCCATGTTTACCACGGCCGGGAGGCCGCCCGGCCGCGGGACTGTGAGGTGGAGATGATGGTGCAACTCCTGGGCATTATGCTGGTGGCCAGCGCGTGCTGGTTGCCGCTACTGGTAAGTGGGGCCGGGGACCCCCACAACAGCCCCGCGCTGCAGGGGTCTCCCACGCACCGGCGCCAGAACAGAACTGGATCAGAAGTGGAGCAGCCCAACTCGAACCGGTGCCCATGTGGGATGGAGACGTGGCGGCCCAGGCTGCCCCAGCCCCACTTCCCGGGGCCACCCGCAAGGGTCACCCCTGGCAGGAGCAGGGATCCCCGATTTCCGCCCAGCCCCTCCCGGGGTGGGGGAGAGACCGAGGTCAGGCTTGAGGGTGGGGCGCGCTGTGGAGAGGGTGGGCGCATGCACCCCGGCTCACGGCTGCCCCTGCTCGGCAGGTCTTCATCGCGCACACGGTGGTGCTTGCCCCTCCGGCCATGGGCCCCGAGGGGCAGCTGCCCCGTGCCACCGAGCGCCAGCTGCTCATCTACCTGCGCGTGGCCACCTGGAACCAGATCCTGGACCCCTGGGTGTACATCCTGTTCCGCCGCGCCGTGCTGAGGCGCCTGCAGCCCCGCGCCAGTGCCCGCGCCCGGGCGCTCTCCCTGCGGCCCCAGCTCTCTCACGAGACGGCAGCACTGCGGTAGGGTCGAGCGGTGGGGGTGCTGAACCCCCCCCCCAAGAAGCAGTTTTTGGGGCTCTCCGAGGGGCCAGGCCTCCCCTTCCTAAAAGGGGCACCAGGCCCTGCCTCCTGGGGTGCACCTGACCCTCACCCCAAAGCTACGGTCTCAAAAATGAACGCAGGTCTTCCTGCCACCTGCAAGAATCCAGCTCGCGTCTTGCTGCCTCTCTCTGTGGTCTGGGGCCTCCGTGCGCCCGGCAGGGGCTGGGGAATGAGAAGGGGCAACAGGGATACCCCCTTTCCCATCTGCTGAGGGCCTGGGGTGGTCTTTGAACCCCCGTGAAGTTGCTGCGCGCGACTGAACAACAGGTGGTTTGTTTATTCAAAGGCAGAGTTACAGAGAGGCAGCGAGGGCGGGAGGGAGACGCTGCGTGTGCTGGCTCACTGTCCAGGTGGTCGCCGCGGCCAGGGCTGGGCCAGGGGCAGCCAGGCGCTCCAGCCAGGCCTCCCACACGGGCGCACGGGCCCAGGCCCTCGAGCCGTCCTCAGCTGCTTTCCCAGGCGCATCAACAGGGAAGTGGTGCCACCGGGATTTGAACCGGCGCCCCTAAGGGATTCCAGTGCTGCAGGTGGAATCTTTCCCTGCTCCCACTTTGAGCAGGTGGGGCAAGGGCGCGGGCCCACGTGCTCTGTGCTTCCGGGTGTCCCCCAGGCAGCGGTGGGGCTGGGGTGTGGAGCCTGCCGGTTCCGGTGTCTCCATCGCAGACATGCCCGCTGAAACCCAAGCGGGTTCCCCCACCTGCTCCCTCCTTGCAGCTGCACAGGGGGCCACGGCATCACACTCAAGCTAAAGGCTCGTGCTAGGGGGCAGGGGCCCTGGCGCCCCCGGCCTGGGTGAGGGGGTCTGACCCCAAGCTGGGGAGCTGGGGGAACCTGGGGGCGCTGCACTGGGAGCAGGTTGGGGGACGACAGCCGTGGTGCGTGGGGGAGATTTCTGGGTCTCCATCTGGGGCTCAGGGGTCAGTGCTGGATGCCGGCGGGCCATGTGGGAGGCTGGGGAGCCGGGCAGGGGTGCCAACTGCCCAGGCTGAGCCACAAGGGCTGGAGACTGGGCTCTGGGGACTGGGATTTGTGGGCGGAGGCCACTCCTGGGCCCGAGTCGGGGCCCGGGCCAGGACTGAGTTGCGGGGCTGGAGCCAGGCGAGGCTCCCGGGCTTGGTGGAGGCAGAGCCTGGGGTGAAGGCCGGGAGCTGGGGGGCGCCGGGCAAGTCTGGGTTCCCGTGCTGGGCCTGGGGTCGGCCCTAGCCGGGCTCTGGGAGCTCAGCCCAGCCGCCCTGGGGGGCCCCGTCTGTGCCCCGGTGCAGAGCCGAGCTGCCCTGGGCCAGGTCGGGAAGTCGGTCTGGGTTCCTGAGCTGCTGCACGCAGGCCGGGCATGGGTGCTGGACTTCCCCCGGGGACCAGTCCCCACGGCAGGGCGCCCAGCACGGGAGTCGGTGTGAGGCTGGGCTCGGGAGCGGGGCAGGCTGGCAGTGGGGACCTGGGATCTGGGGCTGCCCCGGGTCCCTGTGGCCTGGACACCGCGGCTGAGCGGTGGCCCCGGGGTGACCTGAGCCCCAGGGCGGGCACAGGGCTGGGCGTCCGGCCTTGTCTGGGCTGCTGAGCAGGGCTCTGTGTGGGCGACCTCAGGACTGACCCCACTCACCTTGGGGCTGACCCCGCTGACCTTGGGGCTGACCCCACTGACCTTGGAGCTGACCCCACTGACCTCAGGACTGACCCCGCTGACCTTGCAGCTGACCCTGCTGACCTTGTGGCTGACCCCACTGACCTCAGGATGGACCCCACTGACCTCAGGGTTGACCCCACTGACAGGACTGACCCCACTGACTTTGGAGCTGACCCCGCTGACCTCAGGCTTGACTCCACTGACCTCAGGACTGACCCCGCTGACCTTGGGGCTGACCCCGCTGACCTTGGGGCTGACCCCACTGACCTCAGGACTGACCACACTGACCTCAGGACTGACCCCGCTGACCTTGGGGCTGACCCCACTGACCCCAGGACTGACCCCACTGACCTTGGGGCTGACCCCGCTGACCTCAGGCTTGACTCCACTGACCTCAGGACTGACCCCGCTGACCTTGCAGCTGACCCTGCTGACCTTGTGGCTGACCCCACTGACTTTGTGGCCGACCCCGCTGACCTCAGGATGGACCCCACTGACCTTGTGTCTGACCCCGCTGACCTCAGGACTGACCCCGCTGACCTTGGAGCTAACCCTGGTGACCTTGCGGCTGACCCCACTGACCTCAGGCCTGACCCCACTGACCTCAGACCTGACCCCGCTGACCTTGGGGCTGAGTGTGGTCATGTGGCTGGGCGGGCTGTCCACAGCTCTGTGGTGGGGCGTGGTCTTGGAGCTGGGCAGGGCCTTGGACGGGGCTGTGGCCTCATCAGCGGGCGTGATCTGGGACTGGGGCGTGGCCTCCTTGCAGGGCGTGGTCCTGGAGTGGGGCGGGGCCTCCTTGCAGGGTATGACCTCTGCAGAGGGCGGGGTCTCCGCATGAGGCGTGGCCTGTGCTCCGGGTGTGGTCTTGGAGTGGGGTGGGGCCTGTGATCTGGGCGTGGCCTCTGGGTGGAGCATGGCCTGTGCTGGGGGCGTGGTCTTGGAGCAGGGCGTGGCCTGTGCTCGGGATGTGGTCTTGGAGTGGGATGTGGCCTCTGCATGGGGCGTGTCTTCTGTGTGGGGCATGGGCTTGGAATGGGGTGTGGCCTCTGCACAGGGTGTGGCCTTCACATGGGGCGTGTCCTCTGTGCAGGGCGTGGCCTCTGCACGGGGCGTGGCCTCCACATGAGGCATAGTCTTGGGACAGGGCATGGCCCATGTGCGGGGCGTGTCCTCTGTGCGGGGCGTGGTCTTGGAGTGGGGCGTGCCCTCTGCACAGGGGGGCGTGGCCTGTGCTCGGGGCGTGGCTCTGGACTGGGCCGTGGTCTTGGGGCAGGGCGTGGCCTCTCCGCGGGGCGTGGCCCCTCCGCGGGGCGTGGCTTCCCCACGGGGCGTGGCCTCTCCGCGGGGCGTGGCCTCTCCGCGGGGCGTGGCCTCCGGCCCCCGGTTCTCCTGCCCGGCCGTGCGCCCCCTGCTGGCCCGCTCTACCCGCAGGCCTCCCTGGCGTCGCCGATGGCGGCCCACACCTCCACCACAAACTCGTCCGGGAAGGCAAACTCGCCCAAGACGGAATCCAAGCAGCGCGCAAACTCCCGCACGCTGGCCGTCTTCTTGGCGCTCTCCACCATGGTGGCCGCTGCGGGGGACGGGAGCCCGTGGTGGCGGTGCGGGGGCCGGGGGGTCCCTGGCCCAGCCTCCCCCGGGGGCGCCCCCCAGCTTACCCTGGCCCCTTACCCAGCTCGGGGTCCCGGATGCCCATGTAGCTCTCCAGCAGCTCATCCACTTTCTGCGAGGCCTCCTCCTCGAACGCGCTGGGCTGGGGGCGCCAGGGCCGGGTGAGGGGATGAGGGGGTGAGGGGCGAGGGGGCGAGGGGGTGAGGGGACGAGGGGTGAGGGGGTGAGGGGTGATGGGGTTAGGGGGCGAGGGGGTGAGGGGACGAGGGGGCAAGGGGGTGAGGGGGTGAGGGGACGAGGGGGTGAGGGAGTGAGGGGGTGAGAGAATGAAGGGGTGAGGGGGTGAGGGGCGCCAGGGCCGGGTGAGGAAATGAAGGGGTGAGGGGGTGAGGGGCGCCCCGTTGCCCCCCTGGCCCGTGAGGGGCGCCCCGTTGCCCCCCTGGCCCCCACCCACCCAGGGGTGCACACCCCCACTCCCAGCCCGGCCCCTCACTCACCACCTCCTCCACGGTGGCCGTGCCGCCGGCGCGAAGCCGCAGCGTCTCCCTGCCACTGGCCACCTTGGCCTCCGTGGGCCCCTTGCTGCTGCGGTGCCGCTGAGCGATCATATCTGAGGGGACGAAGCAGGGGCCCCCCCACCACCACGGCTGTTCTAGAACCTTCTGCCCACCCGAGGCGGGAGGCAGTCTGCACCCGGACACTCAGCTCTCCGGAGTGGACAGCCCGGGTGTCGGGGTCCCTGGCCACCCCCACGGGGGAGATGGGGCGCCTGGCTGTGCTCCTGGCCCAGCACCGGGGGAGCCGACCAGCAGGTGAAATTCAAGTGAATAAATAATGAACAAGCTAACCGTCTGGGAGGGAAGGCGAAAGCCCTGTGCTGCAGCTCAGTGTTCTAGAAACGTCTGCCCTGGGAGAATGGGCTGGCCCTGACCCTCGGGGGGCCCCTCACACCCAGCCCGTTCCCCAGCCCCACCAGGCGCTCCGAGTGAGTGCCCGGGAGGAATGTTCTAGAAGGTCGCTCGCTGGGGAGGGAGGAGCACGCGCCTGCTGGCCTAAATGGAACCAGAGCCGTCGTGGGGCTGAGCAGGGGGCGGGGGGGGGGGGACGTGCAGGACCGGGAGGCGCTCCTGGCTAGAGTGGGGGTGGCAGGTCACCCCGTCGGAGAGGAGGATGGGGTGCAATGTCCCTGAGGCCTGGGGGACGCCACAGCCAGCTCCTCTCTCTCACACAGACACTATTTCTTAAAAATTATATATATATATCTTAGAAACTGATCTGCGGATTCACTCCCAGATGCCCAGGCGCGCTGGGCCCGGCAGGGCGGCTCTGGGTCTCCCGTGTGGGTGCAGGAGCCATCAGCACCGTCTCCCCAGGCTGTGGGTCGGCAGGGAGCCGGGAACGGGACCAGGAGCTCCGACATGCAATACGGGCATCTCAGGTGGCATTTTCCCCCTGCTTATCTCACCCCTGGACCCGGCGCGGGTTGGCTTTGCTTTGGAAAGCAGCATTCTAGAAGTTTCTGGAACTTTCTAGAAAACATCAGATCCTGCAAGCAACCTGCCAGCCAGGCTCGTCTCCCAGCTCATGGCCTCTTGCCTGGCTGTGTGTTCCCTCTGCGGTGACCTGGAGAAGGACCCCCCCCCAACACACGCACACCCGCCTTGCATACGCACACCCGCCTTGCATCTAGAACCTTCCGCCCCCTCGCCCGGGTCTGGGGGGGCCTCACCAAAGGCCCGCTTGGGCTGCACGAGGCGCAGGGTGAAGGGCTGACTCTTGGGTAACTCCCGGAGCATCCGAGCCACCTCGTAGTGCCGGCAGCCCACGATGGAGTGGTCGTTAATGGCTTCGATGCTGTCGCCCACGCACACCGCCTCGATGCGGTTGATGATGCTGCCTTCCTTGATTCTCTGTGGGAACGGGTGCGGGGTCAGCACCCAGGGCAGGTCAGCACCCAGGGCAGGTCAGCACCCAGGGCAGGTCAGCACCCAGGGTGTGGTCAGGCATCCAGGGCAGGTCAGCACCCCAGGGCAGGTCAGCACCCCAGGGTGTGGTCAGGCACCCCAGGGTGTGGTCAGGCACCCAGGGTGTGGTCAGGCACCCAGGGCAGGGTCAGCACCCCAAGGTGTGGTCAGCACTCCAGGGCAGGTCAGCACCCAAGGCAGGGTCAGCACCCCAGGGCAGGGTCCCCACTCTGCACACCTTGATGAAGGCGTAGCCCGCCCCGTTGTCCGTGATGGTCAGCCCGAGCGCGTCCTCCGTCTTGGTGACCTCCACCTCCTTGGTCTCGCCGCGCACGTGGGCGAAGATGAAGTCCTCCAGGCCGATCTGGCCGCCCAGGAGCTTCTGCATGTCCACCTTGTGGCTGTTGAGCGTGCAGAAGAGGATCTGCGTGCAGGGGTGGGGGACGCACGCTCAGGCACCTGCCAGCAACCCCCCCCCAGGCTTAGACCCCTGTACCCCGACCCTGGACGCCCGGCGGGGACCTCGGCAGGTCCTGGGGAGGGGCGAGGACCTGCCGGCGGCCCCTGGAGACCACGACGCCCCCACACCGCCGCCCTGGAGCCGCCGAGGGGTCCCTGAGGCTGGGAGCTACGCCCGGTCCAGCAGACCCAGGGACCCGCAGGGAGAGCGCAGGGCTGGACGGGGTGTCCCCCCAGAGCCATGGGGAGCGGGTGGCACTGCAGCCTGGAGCCGGGGTGCTGGGGGGGCCCCCCAACTGTCCAGGCCCCAGGTCCCCGGGTGGGGGGGACGCTCACCTCGGTGGGCGCGATGCCGAAGGCCTCGGCGATCTTGGCGTAGAGCTCGCGGACGTTGGTGAAGCCTTCGATCTTGCCCGTGGGGCTGCCGTGCGCCAGCTGCGTGCGGAAGACGAGGCGCGGGCGGGCGCGGGGCGCGGCGGGGGCGTCGGGGGGCGCGCGCGGGGCCTCGGGGGGCGCAGGGCTCTCCATGGCCGCGGGAAGCTCCGCCACCCACCAGGGGCCTCGGCCGCCGCTGCCTCCGGATCTGCCACTTCCTGCAGCCGGCCTCCCCGCCCCCTGGCCCAGTGCGACAGCCGAGCCGCCCCTGGGGTAAGGGGATCCGGGAACCCGATGCCTGGGGGGGAAGGTGATACCGCGGGGACCGGGGGCCCTGCCGGGGCCAGCTGCGCCCTCCCCGGGGACCTGGGCCACGGCTTGGTAACAAGACTGGCAAACAAGGAGCCTGTGCAAGAGGAGGGAACCCCCACCCCGTGACCTCCGCCCTCAGCCCTGCAAGGACCCCCTACACACAGGGTCCCCATCCCTTCACCCCAGTAATGACCTCTGTCCCCACCACACCAAGGATCCCACCACACAAGGAACCCCTGGACAGCACGCTACACACACACACACAGGAACCCCTGACAGCCCCCATACACACAGGAACCCCTGACAGCCCCCATACACACAGGAACCCCTGACAGCCCCCATACACACAGGAACCCCTGACAGCCCCCCTCACACACACACAGGAACCCCTGGTCACACACACACACACACACACACACACACACACACACACACACACAGGAACCCCCGGACAGCCCCCCTCACACACACACAGGAACCCCTGACAGCCCCCCCACACACACACACACACACACACACACAGGAACCCCCTGACAGCCCCCCTCACACACACACACACACACACACACACACAGGAACCCCTGACAGCCCCCCTCACACACACACACACACACACACACAGGAACCCCCGGACAGCCCCCCCACACACACACATAGGAACCCCTGGACAGTCACACACACACACACACAGGAACCCCTGGACAGTCTCACACACACACACACACACACAGGAACCCCTGGACAGTCTCACACACACACACACACACACACACACACAGGAACCCCTGGACAGCCACACACACACACACACACACACAGGAACCCCTGGACAGTCACACACACACACACACACACAGGAACCCCTGGACAGCCCACACACACACACTGCTGGCAGTGAGTGTAGCTGCTGTAACAGTCCACCAGTTCGAGTCCCAGCTGCTCCTCCTTCCTTCCAGGCCCCGCTAACCTGCACCCTGCTCAGCCCCCGTTCCCGCGGCGCCGGCACCCATGGGACCCTGATGGAGCTCCCTGCTTTAGCCTCACGCAGGCCCCGCCCGTGTCCCCTCAGGTCATTGTGGCTATTTGGGAAGTCACCAGCAGATGCAACATCTGTGTTATCGATAATAATAAAGGATTCCTTTAAAAAGTTCCTGGAAAGATTTCTTTCCACTTAGTTTTGCTTTGCTGAGATGCAGCTTTGCTGCAGCGGGCGAGCAGGGCCGGGGGGAGCTCCATCGGGGGGCTCCCACATGGCTGTGGGGCCACGGACCTGCTGCCCCCTCCGTAGCGCGTGACACGGGGTGCAGTGCTGTGACTAGCTGAGCCCCCTGTCGCTGTGCTGCCGTGCGGGGGGAGCGTCCTGGTGGCCAGTGTCCACCCCAGGGCTGGGGACAGCCTGACACGTGTCTCATAGCGATGCATCAATGCTGCTGTGACCCGGGGCCGGCCGCGTGTCCCTCACAGCCCCAGTTCCGGCACACAGGTGACATCCACGGGGGCTTCCGGCCCACCGACCCGCCTGCGCCTGGCGTCCGCCCCACGGTCACGTTCGGGCACTGTGTGTGGACCGACTTGGAAGGGTCGCCTACGCCCTCCTGGCCGGCCATGAGCTCATCTCCACTAACTCCCTGTGCCGCCCGCTTGCCTAATAAGGCCTGGGAGCAGCCGAGGCCCAGGCGGGGAGGAAACCCGTCCCCCAGCGCGTGGGCTGCGGGCCAAGGGATTCCGCAAACTGCTTCCATTCACTTACAGGAAAGGCACGGAGAGTCTGGCCTCGGCTGGTTCACTCCCCACTGGCCGCCAGAGGCCCCGGCAGGGGAGTGCCCGACCGGGAGGGGTGGGCCGCTCTGTGGGGCAACACAAGATGGTGGGCGTCCTGGATGCCAGCCAGCCGTGCTGAAAAGCGCCCTGGCATGGGGCACCTGAGCGCGGCCCCAGGGTTGCGGGGCTGGGGTGGGGACACGGATGCCGTGGGGAAGCGGGGCGGCTGTCTGTCCCACGCTCCCTGGGCGAGCTTGCAGTGTCTCACACCTGAGCTGGGGGCAGAGGTGTGGGGGCCCCCCGGGCACACCCCCAGAAACAGACACAGCCATGAAGGAAATGCCCACAGCTTTATTGCGCAGTGGGTGGAGCCCGTCGCCCCGTCAGCACCAGCACCCCCACTCCCGGTGGGCACCCCAGGGTGAGGAAGGCGGAGTCCTCCAGGTGCCAGGGAGGCACAGCCAGAGCGAGCCCCCTGTCCCCGCCTGGGGGTGGGCACTCGTGTGCCCCCTCCACCCCCTGCCCCGTCAGGTGACCCAGGAACCGGTGCCTGGGGGGAGCTTAGTCTCGGGGGGCTGGAGCCCCAAGGTGCAGGACGGGGCCTGGTCCCCGTAGCGGACCCCCACAGCAGACCGCAGCCTCTGCTCCGTGGGCGGCTGTGGGAAGGGGCTGCCCCAGGTTCCCCTTCACAGGTGCTCGCTGCAGGAGAGGGCAGGGCGCGTGAGCTCCCCACTCACAGCCCTGCGCCTCCCAGCGCGCGGCCCACAGACCCCAGGGCCCCACGAGGTACCCACCTGGCCACCTGAGCCAGGATCTCTTTGATGCGGGCAATGAGGGCCTCGTGGCGCGTGGGGTCACGCTCAATGGCACCGTGCAGCCGTGCCATGTACAGGTCAAGGGTGCCCAGCGTGGGCGTCTCGCCCGTGCCTGTGGGTGGCAGGGACCGGGTCAGAGGGTCAGCCAGGCCAGGGAGGTAGGGTCGCTGGGGAGGGGATGGGCCACCCGAGCAGGGCGGGGGCTCCCGGCAGGGCAGGGCAGGGCCGGGACGAGCCCCCCGGACGAACATGGACCGGCTCCCGCGCTGCCCCCGCCCCGACGCACCGGGCACGGGCAGCGCGGCGAAGCTGGCGGTGAGCGCCTGGCGCACGGCCTGCAGTTGCTGCTGCAGTGCCAGCGTGCGCCGCTCCTCCAGCGCCAGCTCCTGCTCCAGGCGCTCCCGCGCGCTGCTCATGCTCTGCGTGTGCCGCTGCAGCACCGCGTTCTGCTCCTCGAAGGCCACGTTCATCTTGCGCAGGCGCCGCAGCTCAGCCTCGCGCGCTGCAGGGATGGTCAGGCCTGCTCACGCCACAGCCCAGGCCCGGTGCCCTCCCCTGGACGCCCACCCTCCCCAGGACGCCCACCCACCCAGGACGCCCACCCTCTCCTGGACGCCCACCCACCCAGGACGCCCACCCTCCCCAGGACGCCCACCCACCCAGGACGCCCACCCTCCCCTGAACGCCCACCCACCCAGGATGCCCACCCTCCCCTGGACGCCCACCCTCCCCAGGACGCCCACCCACCCAGGACGCCCACCCTCCCCTGAACGCCCACCCTCCCCTGGACGCCCACGCACAGGGGACGCCCACCCACCCCTGGACGCCCACCCACCCAGGACGCCCACCCTCCCCTGGACGCCCACCTTTGTTTTGGTCCAGAAACTCCTCGGTGAAGATGGGCACATCGAACGTGGACAGCCCATCGCAGTCCCCGGGCTGGGATGGAGGAACGGGGCATGTTGTGGGCACAGCCCCCACCCCGACACCACTGCTCCCCAGGCCAGGGTCAGTGTCCTGGGGTGCAGGGAGCCCCCCAGCCCCCAGGCTGCCCCCGCCACTGGAGGCCTGGAAGCTTCCAGACAGTTCTGGGCGGCTCCCCTGGTCCGGATGCTCACCTTGTGTCCATTGAGCACCGCGCTGAGGAGGCCGGGGGAGCCCGAGTCCTCTGGGGGACAGGAGAGGGGAGGGTCAGCCCCAGCCCTGCACCCACAGCCCCGCTCTCTGCACCCACAGCCCCACCCCTGTACCCACAGCCCCATCCCTGTACCCACAGCCCCACCCCTGCACCCCAAGTCCTACCATGCACCCACAGCCCCACACCCCACAGCCCCACCCCTGCACCCACAGCCCCACCCTGCACCCCACAGCCCCGCTCCCTGCACCCCTGCCCACCTCTCTTGATTTTCTTCTCCTGCAGCCGCTCGGCGCACACCTTGTAGGCCTCTGACTGCTGGTAGGCGCGCAGCTCCTTCATGTACTGCTGCTTCTCCCGCTCCGCCTCGTCCAGGTACCGCTGGGGGCGGGCGGGGGCGCTGGAGCAAGGCGGTGGGGCAACCCCAGGCCCTCCCTGGGCCCACCAAGGGGCTCCCCGTACCTTCCCTGGGGTCTCCCTGCACCCCCGGGGTCTCCCTGCGCCCTCCCTGGGGTCTCCCTGCAGCCCCGGGGTCTCCCTGCACCCACGAGGGTCTCCCTGCGCCCTCCCTAGGGTCTCCCTGCACCCCTGGGGTCTCCCTGCACCCACTGAGGGGCTCCCTGCACCCCCCGGGGTCTCCCTGCACCCACGAGGGTCTCCCTGCGCCCTCCCTGGGGTCTCCCTGCACCCCCGGGGTCTCCCTGCACCCCCAGGATCTCCCTGCACCCACCGAGGCCCTCCCCCCGCGCCCACCTGCTTCTCGGCCGGCTGCAGCTTGCTCCACTCGGCGCCCAGCATCTTGGTGATCTCGGGAAAGGGCAGGTCGGGGTGGCGCGTGCGGATCTGCTCCCGCCGCTCGTTGAGGAAGCGCACGTAGCCGGTGACCGGCGCCTTGGGCCCATTGGGCAGCACCTTCTTCCGCTTCTTGCCCTTGGGCCAGCCGCGCTTCTTGACGGGCTGGGCGGGGCCGGGGCGGGGCCACAGAGGGCGTGGTCAGCGGGAGGGCAGGGTCAGCAGACGGGAGGGTGGGGTCAGTGGGAGGGCGTGGTCAACAGAGGGCGTGGTCAGTGGGCAGGGCATGGTCAGAGGGCGGGATCAGCAGACCAGAGGGTGGGGTCAGTGGGAGGGCGGGGTCAGCAGACAGGGGCGGGGTCAGCCTGGGCAGGCGGGAGGGTGTGTTCAGTGGATGGGAAGGTGTGGTCAGTGGGAGGGTGGAGTCAGTGGAGGGTGGAGTCAGTGGAGGGCGTGGTCAGCGGGAGGGCGTGGTCAATGGGCAGGGCAGGGCAGGGTCAGAGGGTGGGGTCAGCAGATGGGAGAGTGGGGTCAGTGGGCAGGGCAGGGTAAGTGGGAGGGCGTGGTCAGTGGACGGGAGGGCGGAGTCAGTGGGCAGGGCATGGTCAATGGGGGCATGGCCAGTGGGCAGGCAGAGTCAGCAATGTGGGCCTGGTCAGAGGGTCAGGGCGTGGCCAGCGAGGAGCAGGAGGGCGTGGTCAGTGAGAGGTGTGGTCAGTGAGGGACGAGTCAGTGGGGCGGGGCCAGGGCATGGGCAGTGAGGGGCTGTGCTTAGGCCCTAGGGGTGTGGCCTCCACATGGGCGGGGCCTCCTGGTAGGCGGGGATCCCGGGGTGTGGCCTCCTGGTGGGCGGGGCCTCTGGGGCGGGGCTCACCTCCTCCTCAGCAGGCCCCTTCTCTCCCGGCCGAGGGTCACGCTCCTGCTTGACCGGAACCACAAAGCCGTGGGGGCCCGGAGCCCTGCTGCCCGCGGGCCTGAGGCGGGGGATGCGGGTCAGGGACATGGGGTCAGGGGACATGGGGTCAGGGTCAGGGGTCAGGGACACGGGGTCAGGGGACATGGGGTCAGGGACACGGGGTCAGGGTCAGGGACAGGGGTCAGGGACATGGGGTCAGGGAGTCAGGGGACATGGGGTCAGTGGGGCAAGTGGGGTCAGGAGGGATGTAGGGTCAGTGGAGGACATGGGATCAGGGAATAAGGGGTCTGGAACACGGGATCAGCAGCGGACATGTGGTCAGGGGACATGTGGTCAGCAGGGAATGTAGAGTCAGGGGACATGAGGTCAGGGGACGTGGGGTCAACAAGACGTGGGGTCAGGGAACGTATGGTCAGTGGGATGTGGGGTCAGCGGGTCAGAGGTTAGACATGGGGTCAGGGGACACGGGGTCAGCGGGGACGCGGGGCCAGGGGGTCAGAGGTTAGACATGGGGTCAGGGGACACGGGGTCAGCGGGGGACGTGGGGTCAGGGAGGCAGAGGTTAGACATGGGGTCAGGGGACACGGGGTCAGCGGGGACGCGGGGCCAGGGGGTCAGAGGTTAGACATGGGGTCAGGGGACACGGGGTCAGCGGGGGACGCGGGGTCAGGGGGACAGAGGTTAGACATGGGGTCAGGGGACACGGGGTCAGCGGGGGACACGGGGTCAGGGGGACAGAGGTTAGACATGGGGTCAGGGGGCGCGGGGTCAGCGGGGGATGTGGGGTGGGGGGCAGAGGTTAGACATGGGGTCAGGGGACAAGGGGTCAGCGGGGGATGTGGGGTCGGGGGTCAGAGGTTAGACATGGGGTCAGGGGACACGGGGTCAGCGGGGGACACGGGGTCGGGGGGCAGAGGTTAGACATGGGGTCAGGGGACACGGGGTCAGCGGGGGATGTGGGGTCGGGGGGCAGAGGTTAGACATGGGGTCAGGGGACAAGGGGTCAGCGGGGGATGTGGGGTCGGGGGGCAGAGGTTAGACATGGGGTCAGGGGGCACGGGGGTCGCAGGTCAGGGTCGCAGGCAGGAGGTCACTCACGGGACGGCCTGCCTGGGGCCCTGGGACATGGCCGCTCGGCTGGACCTGCAAGGCAGACAGCGTGAGGGCCACGCAGGCCCAGGGCGCCCAGTGGGGTTCGGGGTTCGGGGTCATCCGCCGGGATTTGGGGTGTCCAGCCTGAGTCCAGGGCCGTCCTCGCGGGTCTCGGGGTCCCCCCGTGTCCCCGGCCCGTCCCCCTGGATCTCGGGGTCCCCCTGTGTTCCTGCCCCGTCCCCCCCGTGTTCCTGTCCCGTCCCCCCGGCCCGTCCCCCTGGATCTCGGGGTCCCCCTGTGTTCCCGGCCCCGTCCCCCCCGTCCCCCCGGCCCGTCCCCCCGGTCTCGGGGTCCCCCGGCCCCGCGCACCCCGAGTTTTCACCTCCACACAAACTTTCCCGGACCTTCCACGGGCCGCGCCGCTCCAACCAAGCGCCCTGCCCGCCCCGCCTCCCGCAGCTGTCCCGGCACTCCTATTGGCTGCGGCGCAGCCTCCGAGGCGTGGCCATGCAGATGAGCGTCGGCGCGACGAGCCGCGATTGGCTGAAGCGGCCGGAGCGTCGCGTCGGGGAGGCGGACCGAGGAGGCTGCGGGCGGTGCGTCAAGTTCGGCTGCGCTCGGCCGCGCTCGGGGCCAATCGGCGGCGCTCGGGGCGGAAGAGGGGGCGGGCCCAGCCCCTCGTCGGGGCCTCTTAAAGGGCCAGCGCGCGCCCTGCTCGGGCTGCACCGCGCGGCCTGCAGGCCCTGGTCACCCCGCGGACCGCAGCCCTGGGAGGCAGAACCAGGGGCGAGCTTCCCGCTGCGTGTGCTCCGGGCTGCAGCCGCCCTGACGGCCCCTCCACGGCGGGGTCCGGGGACACCCGGGGCTCGGGGTGCTGGACCCGCCTGGACACCCGGGGCTCGGGGTGCTGGACCCGCCTGGACACCCGGGGCTCGGGGTGCTGGACCCGCCTGAACACCCGGGGCTCGGGGTGCTGGACCCGCCGGGGACCCGGGGCTCGGGGTGCTGGACCCGCCTGGACACCCGGGGCTCGGGGTGCTGGACCCGCCTGAACACCCGGGGCTCGGGGTGCTGGACCCGCCTGGACACCCGGGGCTCGGGGTGCTGGACCCGCCTGGACACCCGGGGCTCGGGGTGCTGGCGACCATGTCCCGTGTGCGGGGGTCTGTCCGCGTCAGCTCTCAGCAGGAGGGAGCTGCCCCTGGGTCTCCTGGCCAGGGCGTGGGCAGCTCGGCTGGGTCAGCCTCAGCACGGCGGGGGCTGGGGAAGTGATGGCCAGGCTGGTGTTGCCATAGAAACTGACCACACACACAGGGTCCCCTACACACACACAGGGTCACTAATGCACAGGGTCACACACACACAGGGTCACTAATGCACAGGGTCACACACACACAGGGTCACACACACACAGTCACACACACACACACAGGGTCTCACACACACACAGGGTTACACACACAGGGTCACTAATGCACAGGGTCACTAATGCACAGGGTCACACACACACACACAGGGTCTCACACATACACAGGGTTACACACACACAGGGTCACTAATGCACAGGGTCACTAATGCACAGGGTCACACACACACACACAGGGTCTCACACACACACAGGGTTACACACACACAGGGTCACTAATGCACAGGGTCTCACACACACACAGGGTCACACACACACACAGGGTCACTAATGCACAGGGTCACTAATGCACAGGGTCACACACACACAGGGTCACTAATGCACAGGGTCACACACACACAGGGTCACACACAGACAGGGTCACTAACGCACAGGGTCCCCTACACACACACACAGGGTCCCACACGCAGAGGGTCCCACACATACGGTCACACACACACACATGAAGCGGGCACCCTGCTGGCACACGAAGGCCTGGTGGGTGTGTGGCCAGCGGTGTTGCTTCCCCGGGTGTGCGCAAGCAGGGAGCCACTGGCCGTGGCCGGGTCACCTCCAGCCAAGCCTGTGGGCGCACAGGCTGTCCCCCCACTCAGTCAGTGTCCCAGTGTCGCCTCGTGAGGGCGTGCGTCATGCTGCAGCTGCCCCATGACCTCACCCGTCTGCCGTCCCCACGGTCCCTGCTTCCTAATTAGGTCCGAGGATGGGCGCCCAGCACTCGCCTAACACACACATTGTCTGGCAAAGGCAAGAGGCCGCATCCGGGGCTCCCAACAGGGGGTGCAGGGCCGGGAAGAGGCGGGGGCTCCACTGAGGTTCCCCACAAGAGCGCAGGGCCGGGAAGAGGCGGGTGGCTCAGTCTGGGCTCCCCACGAGGGCGCAGGGCCGGGCAGAGGCTGGGGGCTCCACTGAGGCTCCCCACGAGGGTGCAGGGCCGGGCAGACGCTCCATCTCCCCCAGCCCTCAGCTGGCCAGGGAAGTGGGAATGAAATAGAGCATTGTGGCTTCCTGGTGGGCCACCTAGCTGTGACCCCAGCTGGCTCGGTCTCTCTCAGATCTGAGGAGGCTTCCGGGGAGCTGACACGTCCATCAAAGCCAGCCGGAATGGGGGGGCACCCCACCTTCCCTCCGCGCGCCAGCCCTGGGGCTGCACGGCGCCCGCTGGGACATCCGATCTCCAGCCACGCGAGGCAGGACGCGGCCAGCTCGGCGTCCGTGTCCAAGGCGGCTGGGACACTGCGGGGACATCAAAGGCTGCCGGCCGGATCCCCAGCGGTCGCCCCCCAGCCCTGGCGGCAGGTCAGGTGTCAGCTGAGCGGTAGCCCGGCTAGGGTGGCAAGCTGGCTTAGGCCCAGGCCCCGCCCACCCCATCCACAGCCTGCCTAACCAGCTTCTTTAAAATCTTTTTTAAGGATTTATTTTTCTTAGAAAGTCAGATTTTCAGAAAGGAGACAGAGAAGAAGATCTTCCATCTGCTGATTCACTCTCCAAGTGGCCCCAATGGCCAGAGCTGAGCTGATCCAAAGCCAGGAGCCAGGAGCTTCTTCTGGGTCTCCCACGCAGGTGCAGGGTCCCAAGGCTCTCGGCCGTCCTCCACTGCTTTCCCAGGCCACAGGCAGGGAGCTGGATGGGAAGTGGGGCTGCTGGGACACGAACCAGCGGCCCTGTGGGGTCCTGGCACTTGTAAGGGAAGGATCAGTCATTTGAGCCATTGCCGTGGGCCCCCCCCAGGTTCCTGCCCCGCAGGTCCCGTCCTCCAGCCGCTGGCCATCCTGGGGCTCGAGGGCCTGGTGGCCTCCAGGGCACCTTGTGATGGAGAAATGAATGGAAGAGGCCACACAGCTCTTATCGCCCCACTGGGGTTGGGCGCCCTATCTCTCATCTGCCCTGCCCTGCCTGGCCCCGTGCCTGAGGCCCATGCCTCGTGGGCCGCTCCAGGCCGGGGAAGCACCGCTGGTGGCTGTGGTCAGCCGGCCTCGACCTGTCCTGCCCAGGCACTGGACAGACGCAGCAGGGACCCAGACGGGCCGAAGGCGTGCTGTCTTGGGCCAGTGGGAGGTACCGGGCCAGGACCCGTGACCTGGCAGCTCCCGGTGCCAGCTGCTCTAGCCTTTCAAATCGATTGATTGATCAATCAATCTTAGCAAACAAGTTAGCCCCCTTCAAGGGGGATCCAACACCCTCCCAGGCAGGCAGGTGCCCCAGAGGTGTCCCCCTGCCCCTGGCTGGCCATCGGAGAGCCTGGGGGTGTCCCCTGCCCCTGCCAACCGAGAGCCTGGAGTGTCCCCCTGCCCTGGCCATCCGAGAACCTGGGGTGTCCCCCTGCCCCGGCCATCGGAGAGCCTGGGGTGTCTCCCTGCCCTGGCCATTGGAGAGCCTGGGGTGTCCCCCTGCCCTGGCCATTGGAGAGCCTGGGGTGTCCCCTGACCCGCTATCGGAGAGCCTGGGTGGGCTCCTACCCCCCGCAGGCGGTTCAGGGATCAGCTGGTCCACTCCCCAGAGCTGGGCCAGTGGGAGCCAGGACCTCCTCGGGCTGCCCCGTGGAAGTGGGGGTCCAGGCATCTTAGCAGGGAGCCTGATGGGAAGTGGAACAGCTGGGATTTTAACACACCCCAGAGCCCATCCTACAGCCGGGCAGACTGAGGCTCGGTGGAAGGGACTCGCCCAGGATGGGGTGGCAGGCCGGTGGCGCCCCAGGGCCTGGCGTTCAGGAGGCCAGCCCCCCAAGTTTCCAAGTTCTGAGGAGGTTGGGGGGGGCAGGGGCGCCCACCCGGTGCAGAAACTGAAACCGCATCTGGTGATGGCGGTGTGGGCGGCGAGGCCAAGGGGCGCTCACCTGACTCAGAGGCCACGTGGGGCCTGCGGGGACGGCTATGAGGGTGCGATTATCCCATTATTACTCCTAATGAGTCACTAATTGGGAGGAGCACGCGCTCCGTGTGGGGTCTCCCCGGGGCTATGAAGTCCCCGCTACCCGAGGTGGCCCAGGACCAAGAGTCCCCCACACCTCCTCGAAACTCAAAACTCCCGTCCCTTCTTCGACCACGCATCTCGCCCCCTATCGGGTCGGGGAATTGGAGCCCCAGGGACCCCCGATCCCGGCTGGGGGACCCCAGGGCACGTCCCCCTCCCGGGCTGGGGGTGAGGGTGGGGGACCCCAGGGCGCGCACCCCTCCCCGGTTGGGGGACCCCAGGGCGCGCACCCCTCCCCGGCTGGGGGACCCCAGGGCGCGTCCCTCCCGGGCTGGGGGACCCCAGGGCGCGCACCCCTCCCCGGCTGAGGGACCCCAGGGCGCGCACCCCTCCCCGGCTGGGGGACCCCAGGGCGCGCACCCCTCCCCGGCTGCCCGCCCGGCGCTAGGACCCGCCCAGCCGCGCGTCCACGCCCTGCGCGCTGCCCATTGGCTCCGAGCCCCGGGCGCACGGGCCCGATTGGCGGAGACGGCCGTCGCTCCCCGGCGCGGCCTCAATTTCCCGGTGGGCGCGGCGGGCGCAGAGGCCACCTCGGGGCGCGGGGCGCACGGGGCGGATCGCGGGGCGCTGCCCGCCATGGGCCCGGGGCCGCCGCCGCTGCCGGCCGGCACGGGGGGCACCCCGAGGCCGCTGACTCTGGCCGCCCGGCTCAGCTACGCCGTGGGCCACTTCCTCAACGACCTGTGCGCGTCCATGTGGTTCACCTACCTGCTGCTCTACCTGCACTCCGTGCGCTCCTACAGCTCGCGCGGCGCCGGCCTGCTGCTGCTGCTGGGCCAGGTGGCCGACGGGCTGTGCACGCCGCTCGTGGGCTACGAGGCCGACCGCGCCGCCGGACGCTGCGTCCGCTACGGCCCGCGCAAGGCCTGGCATCTGGTCGGTAAGCGCCCCCCTGCCCGGGCCGGCCCCGTGCTGTCCCCGTGGCTGTCCCCCGCTGCCCAGCATCCCCTGCCTGACCCGTGAGCCGACCCCCTTTCCCCATCGGGAGCCCCCTCCGTGCGACAGGCCTAGCCTCCACCGTAAACCCCGAGCCCTCCCCGGGATGG